CTGTTTGTGAGCACTCCCCACCCTTTACCTAGTGGCTCCAGGCTGAGGAAACCCCAGATACTGTGACACATCAAAAATTTCTCTGTGTTGTTAGTTGGGAAGCAGTGTTGTGGCCTAACTGGCACAAAGGGGAACTGTGAGTCATACGGGGCATCTCCCCCTCACCCCCAGCCTTGGCCTTCCCTGTTGTCAAGCCCTCTTGCTCTCTTCACTGTCTGAGGTCTGTCCCTCCTCTCAGTGTACATCCATGAGGCCCCATCACCTCTCCCCTCATCACTTGGGTGTCCTCTATATAGAGCCCTCTTGCCACACTGGTTGTTGACCAGTAACTCACTGGCTTCCCACCGGACCAGAAGCCTCTCAAGGTGGGGGACTGTGTATTCCCAGTGTCTGCAACCATCCCAGCTGGGCAAACTTCTTTCGAAGAATCTACCACAGCCGCTGCTGCCTGATCTCTGTGGAAGCCCCTTTTATAGTTCCCGTGAGGTGTCACAGGAGAAAGAGGTGACAAGGCGCTTACCTTGACACTTCCGAGATGGTACAAAAACAATATACAACATTTCATGAAAAGAAACATAGCTGTTACCAAAATGCTACTTTTAAAGTATCATAAAAGTAGAAGGTGGTGTCCCAGCTCAGTGGTGAGCAAATGTGGGGTTGCCTGGGAAGTGTGTGTTTGTGTATAAAATTGCCCCAACACATTATCCAAATTTGAGAATCACTGCTGAAGTTGACAAAGCTTTCCTAAGCTGGTATCTGTTTAAATGATGGCATTTAGCAAAGAAGAGAGACTGACCTTAGCTCATCAAAACTTTGACAACAACCATATCACAGAGAACCGGAGTTTGTTTTGTTTTGTTTTTTAAAGTACAGTTAATCATAATTTATCCTTGGTAAAATAACCAAGAGCCAAAATAATTTTACAAATTCTAGCCTCTTCAAAAAAAAAAAAAAAAAGAAAAAAGAAAAAAGAGGCTCTTAAGGCTATTTACTTACCGAAGATTCCTCTCAAAGCCGAGGCAGGAGCTCCTCTGGTATAAGATCCAGGTGCTTGTTCTGCTGTTTGCCGGGCCCTCCCCCCAACCACCTTGAGGGCTGAGCTCCAAGAACAGTGGGGTAGGTAGGTTTGGGCTTACTTGGGTTTGGCCATCAGGGTGGAGGACCGAGGAGACAGAGATTGGGATATTTCCTCCTTCCTCTGGGCTGGATTTTCTAGCAGAGACTGGGTGTCCCTCCACTACAGCTCCAGATGGCCCTTCCCCTCTTTGAAGCTCCAGCTACTTCCGGCTGTGCTAACAACTTCCTGCTTTGCTGATATGCCTTCCCCCCGCCAAGTAGCCCCTTCATTTTCCTCTCAAACTACCAGAGTTAGGTTTTGTTTCCTGCAGGGACCCCAACTACTAAGTCCATGAAAAGAAACCCTTGTCTGGGTGTGGAGGGGGAAGGTGATGTCCGGACTTGTGGGTTATGGCGGCCATCAGTCACGTTAGTGCTGGTATTCCAAGGTATTGATGGGGTTTTGGAATATAGGTGAGGTTGGGTGGGGTGAGGTCTGGAGCCTATGACCAAGAAAGAATTCTTTTTGTTTTTTAAAATTTTATTTATTTATTTGACACAGAGAGACACAGTGAGAGAACAGAAGCAGGGGGAGTGGGAGAAGGAGAAACAGTCTCCTCGCAGAGCAGGGAGCCCCATGCGGGGCTCGAGCTACTGGGATCATGCCCTGAGTGGAAGGCAGATGCTTAACAGAGTCACCCAGGCGCTCCACCCACCCCAGGCCAAGAAAGAATTCTTAAGACATCTATGGTGCAAAATGGGGGTTATTAAAGCACGGGGATAGGACCGGTGGGTAGAAAGAGCTGCTGCCCCAGGGTTGCGGGGGGTGGGGGGGTGGGGGGGTGGCTGATTATATACTACAGGGTTGGAGGAGGTAAGGGAGAGGGGGGTTTCCAAAGAACTTTCATATGCTAAAGAGGACCTACATTGTCAAGTTAAGGTTGTTTTTTCTTCTAGTCAGGCATTAACAGTAAGACAGTTGGAAGCTTCCTAGAGGAACATTACGCTCTCTGGGCTTCAAGTACCAGTCAATCAGCTGCAGATTATAAGGACATTGAACTGTATGTACATTCCCTTCCAGAAGCTAGATCATCTTGTAGATTGCTAAGACTTGTAAACTGAGGAAGATTCCTGTCTTTCAGGATTGTGATCTCTGTAAGTTAACTATTTTGTTTTTCCTTAGGGCAGCCAGGAGTACCTGAGGAATGCCACTTAAATCCCATGACCGGGAGGGAGGGGGTGTTGTGGGGTGTCGGCTTCTGCTTTGTCCTCAGCTTGCCTTCCCTTTATCAGTATGACTAGAAAATTGTATGACTGAGTTTGTAAAACTAATAGCCTAGAACCCGTACCTCCAAATTTGATTACCTCCTCAAAGTTGACACCTTAGGATGCTTGAAGACGTATTTCAGCAATGGCAAAGTATTCTGAGGTTGGTTGCTTGTTAAGATTTTCTTTAGTGTTCATAACCCGTTATTCTGAATAATGTTGGAAAACGGTCCTCCTCTGATGGCAGATTTGATTCAGATCAACAGGCAGTATCAACAACACATACTGAAAATTGGAAAGAATTTCATTATGTTCCTATGCAAATTTCACTGATTATTTTCAAAATAATCAGTGAAAGAAAATTATTTTTCTTTTCTTTTAAGCTGTAATCCAATCACGTTTCATAAATTGCTTTTGGTTGTCTCTTCAAGTGTTCTTAGAGATACAGAGAGGTGAGTTTATGCCCATAATACTGCGATCCAGCATCCCGTCTACCATGATAAATAATGTCAATGAATCAGATGGGTGTTTAGTGAAGGTTAAGAATGTTCCTGGCATTGCAAAGGACACAACTTGCATATGGGAGGAGGAGATGAGTCAGTCATTCATAAGGGCCATTAAATTGGTAAGAGCAGTCAGCAGTTTCCTTTTTCATGTTAAGGCACACAGAGCACCCTCTTTCCATAATGTGCTGGGGTAAACACAGGGAGCTCCTTGGGGGCTCTTTGGGAGCTCTGGCTGCCTCAGGTCCCTCCTCCTAAGGGCTGAGGGACCTACATTTGTATTATGGCAACTTTATGGCTTTCCAGTTTATGTCCCAGGGTATTCTTACTTCAGATCTCTATCACTTTATTTTTTTTTTAATTATTTATTTATCTTGTAAGAGCCTATTTAGCCAGAGCGATTCCATCTTGAATTAAACAGTCATTTTGTTGTTTATGCAGTAAAACTTACACTGTCCCTGCCCCCTTTCCCCCACGGGACTTACTTAAAAACAAGTCCCGGAAACCAGTCCCAGGTAACAAAGCCCAAATACAAGGGTGGGTCAGGCCACCCTTGGAGACATCCAATCAGTGGCGGGGTGCATACTGTCTCCCTAGTTACCAAGGAGTATGGGCCTCCCCTTGGGTGCCAATTCTGACTAGGGTGATAGGCTAGTTCAAATAGCTACTAGGGTAAATTGTAATTCAATTGGTCACTTATGTGTGATCTAGCATGACAGTGCAGCTTTCTCTGCGTGTTACAGTTTCATTGGCCACCTGTGCTTGGCCAGGCCCAACCACATGGCCTTTGCCCCTAAAAGCTAGTCTGTAAAGCTGAGAGGTCGCCCTCTCTGTAAGAGGCGCAGCCCCGAAAGTTCGGTCTCATTCTCGATGCTTGGCACAGAATAAAGCTTCGCTTGACCTTTGCTTTGTATCAGTCTTGCTCCTTTAATCATGGACCCATTATTGGGGGACCTTTCAATCTGACACAGAGAGAGAGAGAGAGATGGCGAGAGAGGGAAGCAGGGGGAGGAGAGGGAGAAGCTGTCCTCCCGCTGGGCAGAGAGCTGGATGTGGGACTCGATCCCAGGACCCTGGAATCATGACCCAAGTGGAAGGCTGGTGCCCAAAGATTGAGTCACCCCGGCGTCCCTCTCTATCACTTTAGATAACCAGGCGTGTTTCTAGATAACCCTAGTTTAGAGTCTTTCTCCCCTTCAGCAGTCACCAATACTCATTAACCTGGAAAAACAAAGACAAAGGTGGCCCTTTTTCCATGTTGTTTATTCACCATCAACTAAGCTACATGAGGGGGATAAACAAATTAGCACAAACGTTTTGGGGAGAATGGGGTATATGAGTGGAAGGGTGGGATTTAAGCAGAAAATAATCTTATACACAGCTAGAAGATTTACAGATATTCTTTAAAAAAAAAATAGTATCCTCTGAAGGTAATGGAGGAAGATAAAATCATCATGAATAAAATAAATTAGCAACTTATCATTATGTAACCCACAACGAAAGTCTCAGAAAATGGTTTGGATTTTCTGTCATGATTTACAGATACTCATGTGATAAATATTTCCAACACAGAAAAATAAAGACCAACAGCAAGTAACAGATTTATACAATGCAGAGGGAAGTTGAACGCATGAAAATAGCTATCATCTGGTAGCAAAAATAGATTTATGCCCATGTTAATATCAAAACTAAAGACATTCAAATAAATTATGCTAATACATTGGAACTATTACTCCTAACATCATAAGAACAACAACTTTATTGCTCCTACTCACAACTAAAAGGTCGGAGAAAATTCTATGATAGCTTGAGGGCATAATATAACTCACTGAATATGTAGTCAGCCTAGAGCAAGGTTCAATAGCCAAATAAAAACTTGATTCTTTTCTTTCAGGGTGGAGACTGTTTATAGCAGAACAAGACCACTCGTCGTAAATCTGGAAAATAACAGATGAGGGACAGTCCTTGAAGCCCAAGCACGGGATTTACTGGAAGTAATTAAAAGGAGAATATAAGAAAAGCAGCAGCTCAAATGAAGTAAACATGAAGAGTTTTTGTTTTGTTTTGTTTTTGTTTTTTTAGCTTGTGTATTTTTCTCTTCCAGAGAGTCCCATGGGAAGCACACAAAGATTGTGGGCTATTGGGGCACTCTAGCGACCATGGAGAACTGGACTGTTGTCCTAAAGTGAACTCAGCTGTTCAGTTAGTCCCGGAACCAGCTTGACTTCTGAGGGGTGAAGGGCCGGGAGAGCCACATTGGGATTCCGATGATTACATTTGACTCAGGTAAATACCAGCCTCTGCTCTGGGGCCTGCAGCCGAAGGGATCTGCTGTCAGGCCACACCGGAGGCTGCTGGACTCTTCCAGAAGGATCTCCTGCAGCTTGGGGTAATCGATAGTGGCCACAGGGACATCCGAAGTACAAGAATGCCCAGAATCCCATTTTCAAGAATACATATGTAATTCACCATCAATTTGGGATAGAATAATCAGGAAGAATATGGAGGTTAAAGCATATATCTCAGATGGCACGGTGATCGCAATTATTGGATTGGGATTTTCAAAGTCCAGAAAGTTAAATTCTACCCTCATTCTTCCCAAAGAACAACATGTTTCTGTTTTCTTTGTCTTAAAAGTAGAAAAAGCCCTTGAGCTACAGATGAGATGGGAAGGTGCTATGGAGAAAAGGGACTGAAGGAAAAAAGAAACCATTTCCCCTTCAAGGTAGTTTTAAGACTATAATAACAGGATGCTATTATAATATCACTAATATCACTAAGCTATTTAAATTTCAGAAACGCCCTTCATAGGGCTGGTACTACTGACCAGTAGCTTTTTAAATTTGCATACGGTTCCATATCATATTCTAATTTATCTCCACTTGCATCTCAAATAAGATGACTACCAAGGTGGTATTTGGTCCACTTATGCTTGTGATTCCAAAATAAAGCATAAGGTCAATTGAAATAGCGGGAGAATTAAAACATTTCCAGATACTGTATGACAAAGCTACAGCCATTCAGGCTGCCTGTCGTGCTTTTCTTGTGGTGGGTTTTTGTTTTGTTTTGGTCTTTTTTGAGCCAGCTTCTGGAGGAGGCCTATTTAGTAGTCAGTATTGCTCAAAGTCTGCATTTTCCTTCATAATGTGAAAACTAGATTTGGTTTTCCCTTGAGTCTCCTTAAATCTACAGAATGCTTCTTCCTGTGTGTGAGGAGAATTCGGATACATGTTTGAAAAGAAAAGAACAAAGCACATATACCAAAGAATTGGACTGTGTCATCTAAACTGCTTAGAAATGGAAATGATATTCACATTGTATTCATCTTGATTTCCTGATATGGAAGGAACGAATGTAATATTTAATGAGCCATTTATTGTTTTTAAATGCTAATCACTTGCAGAGTCCAAAAGGCTACTGACCCACTTTAAATAACTTCATTTTGAAAATGCAGTGCTGTCCAACTACTTGTTTATTTGGTGTGACACTGGAAAAAATCATGCATTCTTTTTTCCCCATCACTTAATTCTACTTTTCATTCACAGAATTCTACACGCTCTGAAATTATTTAATTATCTGTAAGTGTTTTCTGGAGAAATCTTTTTACTACACCATTATACTTGATATTCCATAGGATTGTTATGGACATTAGACTAAAAGGCTTAAAAATTAGGCTTTGGTTTTAATGTAATCTGGGCAGAAGTTGGCTTTGCTTTGATAACACACTTCAACTACTGCACAAATTGTATTATTGTACATTAAAGTAACATATTTAAAAAGACAAAGTTTCTCCTTTTAGTGGTTATAATCTGTATTATTCAAGACTGCTGCAAAACTCACAGAAGAGTAAAATGAGTAAGAAGAAAGTGTAGGAAAGAGGTAAGACAAAGCTTTATCAGAACACAACACAAAGAAGAACATCAATTCTCTACATTTGTCTATAAGGCAGATGGTCAAACTTTTTATACAAGATCTAAAATATGGTGTTATTAAGAGGTAGAAAATATCAAAACAGTATTTAAGAAAAATGCATTATTTAAAATAATCCGTTATTTTGCTAAACTTTTAGAAAGTCAAACTGTTGTGTGGAATGCACTGTATGTTTTAGGCTAAACTGGAACATTCCATACTCCACAGAGCTATGGTAAAGGGTGAGGAACCCAGGGGTTGGGGTGGGAAGCAGAAAACAGTTTAACTTGTCAAGAGTTCAGTTCTCACTAAGGAGAAATTTCCTACCATGTCTCTGGGATGCCACTATAGCATTTAATTAATGGGAATGTCTCAGATTGATGACAATTTCTCTGCATAATAGGGTACAATTTTGCACAGAAGGCGATACACCTCTAGGGAGGGATGAGCTCAAATGCTTCCTCCTCTTCAGGAAGGCGCCGTATCTGTTCGATATTAAAAATATACATTCCACTACTCTTGTACCATCCTCCCAACTACCAAAATACAAATACAAATATTCTTCAGACTCCAGCACCAGCAGAATTGTTTCCTATGAGCCATTCCAGAGCTGCTGGAGCCAAAAGCGATCCGAGTTACCAAATTAAACTCGGGTAGCTTATGCATGAGTGAGTAACCTTGGGTATTCATATTTCTTAATGCACCTGGATAAATTTTTGTCTCCAAAACAATTTTATAAGGCATAAATTTAGTTTGAATTTTCCTAACCTTTGGAAAATTAGTGTTAAAGCTTCTTTTTTAACCCACACATTAACATTCAATCTTGCATGTTTATTAAATAGTTTATATATAAAATGAAATATCAAGGTGTTCTACATTCATATAAACAATTGTGATAACATTTGAAATTGTAAAGAAACCTACTGAAGAAAAGACATACTTTACTACTTACAATGCTAAGCTAAGCACAGGTGATCATTCTAGATAATTTCTTCTAAGTACATAGACACAGGTTTGTGGCTTCAGAAAGCAAACACAGGAGAAGTATAAGGGTGTATCATTCTTCTTTCCTTTTTCACCATAAGACAGGATGGTCCAGTTTGGAAAAACCGAGATCTTTTCTAAGTTCCAAATAGGTGCCATTGCTCACCCAGGAGTCATCACTGGATTTCCTGTGAAGGTAAAAGAATTTCTTGAAACCTATAGAAAATATCGTCATATTCTCTCTTTCTCTTTCCCTCTCCCTATCTCCCCCTGCGCACCCCCCCGACACCCCCAGTGGCCTGGCTGTCAATCTCACATGCAGACAATATCCCTGACAGTCTCCTTTGGGGACTGTGAGGGACCAGGAAGCTTGGAAACCATTTTGTTACTCCTGACTTGCGCTCTCAAACTTACAGCCTATGACAAATGCTGCTTCTGAGAGAAACACGGATAAGGGAAGAGTCTGTCATGTGTAAAACACAGCTGGGATGATGGCCACCATCTTGGGTGTGACTATATAAAAGCTAGGAATCAGCCAGGTTGTTCACAGCAAGTTATAAGTTGACATTAAAAACAAAAGGAATTGGAAGACATAAGAGTCAGGAGAGCACAGCCTTGGTTCACCATTGTTTGACTAGATAATATATTAAATAGATAAAAATTCATAAGGTCCAAAGGGGTGGATAGCTAAAAGTCTTCTTTCCATTCCCATCTCCCAGACTCCTAGTCCTTTTTCTTCAGAGGCAACGCTCTTATAAGCTTCATTCTTTCAGAGAAATTTCATGCATGTCTGAGCATGCATGCACACCCGTGCACACTCCACCCCTCCCATTTTTTTACACAAAGACAGCCCTATATGGCATCCCACCCCTTGAGACGTTGACAGAACGATATCTACTGGAGATCATTTTCCATTGTCACAATAGGTCAGCAAGCTATAGCCCAAGGGCCACATTCTGCCTTCTGCCTATCTTTGTATTATTGGTTTTTTTAAATTGAAGTATAATTAACACACAATGTTTTATTAGTTTTAGGTATACAACATATTGAGTCAACAATTCTATACATGTCCCTCTATCAGTGGTCACCACTGGAAGTGTAGTCACCATCTGCCACCATACATTATTACAATATTATTGACTATATTGCTTGTGCTGTTTTTCATCTCTGTGATTTATTTATACTTAGATTCCCTTTAATCTTAATCCCTTTTTACTGGAACACCACCACGCCCATTCACTTAACTATCGTCTACGGCTGCTTTTTATGCTGTGCAGGGGGCTTGGGCAGTTACTCCTATGACCCTACAGCCTGAAGGGGCGCCTGAGTGGCTCCAGTCATTAAGCGTCTGCCTTCAGCTCAGGTCATGACCCCAGGGTCTTGGGATGGAGCCCCACATTGGGATGCCTGCTCAGCAGGAAGCCTGCTTCTCCCTCTCACCCTCCCCCTGCTTGTGTTTCCTCTCTCCCTGCTCTCTTTCTCTCTGTCAAATAAAGAAATAAAATCTTTAAGAGAAAAAGAAAAGACCTTACAGCCTGCAAAGCTAACAATATTTACCATTTGTCTTTTATAGGAAACATCTGGTGACTCTGGCCATAAGGAATCCTGGTTTCTTTTTATACAGTTGCATGATATTCCGTTGTAGAAATGGACCACAATTTAACAGGTAGCTTACTGGTGAGCTTTTAGCTATCTAGCTATCCCAGACATATGTTAATAATAATAAGGTAGACCTACAACAATATGTAATTTTGTATGCACATGAGTACAGTTACATTGAAAATTCCTGTAAGTGGAACTGCTATATCAAAGAGTGCATGCATTTGTAACTTTGTCTGATATTTCATGTTTTAAGAAGCAAAAGGGGAGACTGCCTGTTTTCCTACACTCTTGGGGACACAGATTTTTGTCACACTGGTTTCCCTCTTCTAATAAAGGGATGTGTCTAAACTGAGCCAGTCTGCCTAGCAGACACTTTACTGTGACACAGAGGAGCCTGGCTTGTCCCAACTGTAGTTTCCACTTGGAATTCCCGCTGACGCTTTCCTTGTTGCCACGTGCCTCTCGGTCACCTCTGTGCTAGGACCGCTATGGCTCAGGGTTCTTGCCTCCTTTCCAGCTCCTTATTTGCCACATCTGATACTCTGACACTTTCACAGACTATCCAGAGGAAAAGCCGCGGCCACGCGGCTACAGCTGTGTTCCATCCTTTCAAGTTCCATTCTAGACGGTGGCCACCACAGCCTAGGGAAGGTTTTATATTTTACATTTAAATGTTAATTCATTTTCCACAGAGCTCCACAGCCTTTGTGAAGTCACTTTTGATGCTTTCAAAGTAGATGGAATTGATGCCTCTCCCTCCCTAGTTCTTGAGACAACTTAGTTACTCGCAAGTTTTAATGATCCTAAAAAACAGGGCAGTGAACATCTTTATAAATGTAGATTTCCCTTGTTTAAAAATGACACTGGGTGACTTATGAAAGAAAAAAGAGAACTGGCCTACTTAAGGGTATGTGTGAATATCTATCAACTGGTCAGTAAGACAACAGATCAAAATAAACAAACAGGTTTGTTGGTTTATTTTCATCTATCCCTTTATCTATCTCTTGTCTTTAAAAGAAATAGTTTAAGGAGTCTTGTTTTTAAAATATTTAAATGCAACTGATGAATCACTGAACATTACATCAAAAACTAATGATGTACTGTATGATGGCTAATTGACAATAAACAAAATAATAAAGATAAATAAAATATATAAACAAAGTTCTGAATATTCTGGGATGAAACTCTGGCCAGTTGAATGATTTTCATTTGCCTGTAACCTGAGTTGGCGGAAATGCTCAGAAGGGACCTGACAAAATCCACAATGACTCTAGGGGTAAAAAAAACATTATATTTTGGGGATGAAACATTACTTGCTACTATTTTGCTATTTTGGAATACACAATTACTTAATTGCTACTACTGCTGCTGCAAGATTAGTAGCTAACTCCTCTTGTCCATTAAAACATAATGACAACAACAACAACAACAAAAAACCAAACCAAAACTAAAAACCAAACAATAAAACCCAGGCTGCTCTGAAAATAAGACTGGGGTGGAATAGGTAGGGCAAGCATCTATTGCTTTTCTACATGGGCCTGGTTTGTTTGTTTATTTTTTTAATGAACAAACAAAAAAGCCCCTATGGCCGTACACAGCCCTGGCGTGTAGGCAGGAGGGCTAGACCCCAGCCCAGGGCATCTCCCTGGGGCCTTCCGTAGAGCCCCTATGTTCCCCGGGGCCTCTCTTTCTTCTCAGGTAATAATAAAGAGGGGGTGAAGAGCGGATGCTCTCTGATGCCCTTCTAAATCCTGGAGTCTACTTTTAACAAGACCTTTCATGGCAAGTTACTTTCAAATGAAGAGTAAGTGTTCCAAATCCAAACTGGAGTGTTTCTGAAACTTCTGCAAACCGAGCATTAGACTACTTGCACGTTCCATGTTCCCGAGGAGAGGTTTTAGGCCTCTGGAGTAAGACCGACACCAAGAACGCTCACATTTGGGGAGGGGACACTCTTGTCCTCTTTCCTCCTATAGAAGCCTCCAGGGTCACCAGTCCCTGTGAGCCCAAGACCCCTGTGCTGGGCGCGCACACCTGAAAAACCGTGGCTGGTGCTCCACGCAGTTTTCTTCTAAGACCCGCCGCCTTTCTCTTTGCAGCTGTTCGATCCTCTGCTTTTGTATTTCAGCTTCTTCTATGTTCCCTTCCTCCAGGAACCTGGGGTAGTAAGGGGGAAACAACGGAACGCAGGTTCCAGGATAACACCGTCATCGTGACTACTAGAATGATGGGTCTAGAACTGGAGATTCCCTACCTGTAAGAACCCTCTCTAAGCCTAAAGGCAGCATTTTGCAGTAGTTAGGGAAGACACTCTTTGTGGAATTGGTGATACATACAAGGTTCAAAAAATTATATCTATAAAAAGGAATTTGTCCCTTTCGTCCCCGTCCCTCATCCCACCTGCTTCCTCACCACGCCCTTTCGTGGGAGCCTTGGAGCCCATCAGACTGTTGAATCTCTGCTAGCTGGTAGGTTATGAATCCATAGGTCAACATGTTTTTAAAAATATGCATTTCTTTCAGTGACACTGAGCATCTTTTCATATGTTTGAGAGCTGCATTTCCTGTTTTGTGAACAGTTCATTTTCCTATGTCCATTTTTTTAGAGTTCATCTTAATTTCTGGAACCAATTCATTAAATGAGTTGTAAATACACATTTTGTTTGTCATTTAAGTATTTAATTCTTAATATTAAATTAAATTAAATTAAATTAATATTAATTTAAATTAAATTAATTAAATTAAAATTAATATTAATTTAATTAAATTAAAAAGTATTTAATTCTCGTTATGTATATATGTATATACATTATATGTATATATACACACATATAAAATATAAAAAATATATAAATATATAAAATATTGAAAACATATACATATGTGTGTATGTGTGTGTATGTGTGTATATGCATATATATGTGTGTACACACATATAAAATATAAAAAATATATAAAATATTAAAAACATATACATATGTGTGTATGTGTGCGTATATGTGTGTATATGCATATATATGTGTGTATATACATACACACACACATATATATATATATATATATACACACACACACTTTTTTTTTACTTTGCCACGAAGAAGGATTTTTTTTCCTTAAATAAAGTCAAATATATCATTTTTTTTTTCCTTTCTGGGTCTTGAGTCTTAAATAGGCCCAAGGACAGAGAGAATAGTTTCCATTTTACAGATTAAGAAACTGAGACTAAGAAGGTTTACACAGCATATTGCCAGCAAACATAGGATCAGAAGTTAGATTTTTATGTGCCAAAATAAGTAAAATCTGAGGAGTAAGGGAGCTGGGTGCTTCTCACTCTTCCAGATATACAGTAAGTTCTGTCTTGTTGTGTGCAATAGAACTCTTAAAAATTAACACGTGTTTGGAGATTTCAATCAATTGAAATAAGGTGCTACTGAGCAATGACCTGAGTCCCTTCCTTTCAGGACCTGAGTGCTTCAAGGCCCCCTTGGCCTCTACTCCTGATGACATTCGTCTCTCTTGGGCACCTCTGGTGGGGTGGGAGTTGTTAGTAAGACTTTTCCCAACGAGTTTTACATCTCTGGGGATACAGATCTTTTACAAAGTGCTTACCTTTGGTCTGGTCTAAATCGAGTGTCAGTAGGCGGTAATAAAGACTTTGACAATGGATCCATTTCATTTAATTCCAGGGCAAACTGTGTGAAGCCATAATATTGCTCGTAGCCTTTTGGCATGGGATCTAAAAGAAAAAGAAGTCATTCATTTCTAAGTTGCCTTTCATTTACATTACTTCTTAATTCCTGCCTCTTTTTCATCCCAGACCAGCCATAATTTTTCTCTCTCAGCTCTAAATCCTGGCTAAGAAACTGGTGGTGAATGTTCCTCTATAAATCTTTTTCTCTAGAAGTTTTCTTCTACCTACAAGGATACGACCTCTTCTATGTGGTCATATAGGGAATTTATGTAATGCCATGAAGTTTTTATACTGTGTAAGCTATAAAAATAATTTTACAAAAATAAACATGTTATAAAGAACTCTGGGTCCATTTTTTCCTGACTAACAAGACTCTGATTCTGGAGAATCCATTTTTCATTTAAGAGATGTCAAATCCTCCTGGAACTCTGTCTAGTTCCTAGAATAGTGCTGAAGCCCTAGCAAGTGGTCAAGGTTATTCTTTTCTTCCATGCCTGCCCTTCTTTCTACCAACTCTTTCCCTCTAAATCTTACACATTTAAATTTAAATCTAGTTCAGCAGAAGCCAGGAATAAACATGGGATTACACCAGAAGAAATGCTGCCTGAGGTGAAGGGGACAGAGAATATGGGACCGAAGGAAGTAAGGCTGCTGGCCAGCTGGCATTCTACAGGATGGGACCCTCGCACTCTCCAGCCGCAAATGTGTGTTATCATTCAAGTAAAGGGAAGAACACGTGAAGGTGATTCAGAGAACATCTGGGCTGCCCTTCCCACCACAGGTCCAGACTACACAGGCCCAGGGGCCTCCACCTTTCAAAGGGCGAGGCTACGGCAGAAGTTCTGACCTGCCTTGCTGCCACCACCCAGAGCCTTGGGGGCCTTGGGAGCAGAGCCACTGCCCCCATGCATCCAGAGGGCGGGGCATCGAGCCAAAAAGTATCATCTGCTGTCTTAGTATCTAATGGCATTTTTCTTACTGAGTTTGGGACTTACCTGATAGACATCACCCCTTTCTTCTTTCCTATCCCTCCTTTTTGGAATGGGAATGTCTATCCTATGGGTGTCCTGTCATTATATGGAAGCACATTTTTGTTTCATGGGTTTAGAGCTGGAGAGGCTGGAGAATTAGACCTCAAGTCTCATCCTTACCCGATTTAGATAATATTTAGTTAAGAATTTGGATTTTAGACTTTTAGAGTTGATGCTGGAATGAGTTAAGATTTGGGGGGCTGTTAAGATGGAATATTTGACATGTAAGAAAGGTGAGGTTTAGGGGAGCCAGGGGCACTGTCATGGGCTGAACGTTTGTATTCTTTCAAAATTCATATGTTGAAGTCCTACCCCTTCATATGGCTATATTTGGAGAAGGAGCCTAAGAAAGTAATTAAGGTTAAATAAGGTGCAAAGGGTATAGCCCTGATCAGGGGGACGCCTGCAAGCCAAGAAGAAGCTCTCACCACAACCCAAATTTGCCAGCACCTTGATCTCTGATTTCCCAGATTCTAGAACTGCAAGAAAACACATTTCTGTTGTTTAAACCACCTGATCTGTGGTATTTGTTATAGCAAGTGTATATCCAAGTATATTGCCCTAACTTGAATCCCAGCTAAAAATCAAGCTAAAAATGCCAAGTTTATATACTGGGTAAATCAAATGTAGGCTAATAAAGTCCACTTCTAGTCTTAGCAGGAGTTGCTCTCACATACAAATACAAACGCTTTCCACGCACTGTTCTGCAAACCCAGTTTTTCAAGCCTTGGGAGTCCTTTCTGTCTAATTTTAAGTCTAATGTCCTATGCATCCTGGTCATGAAAATAGTAGCAAAGCTTCCTACTGTGCCTTCACAAATCCAGCCCAACCACCAGAGTCAAGACAGTGGTTCTTCTTGAAGATGGGCCAGAGATGCTCATGGTCAAGGCACAAACACAAAGTCAGTGAGCAACCACAACAAGCGTACAGCCCACACCCACCACGTGCTCTGTCCAGCTACTGCTTTAACATCCCAGAGAGGAAGGTTGTTCTCATCTCGGAAACATACTTTAAGCAAAGGACAGTGAGTGCCTCTCTGAACTTCTAAAGCTAGGAAGGTGGTCACTGGTGCCAATTCATGCCAGCTTCGTGGCCACCTCTGTGACAGTGGATGCTATATATGGCTGCCATCCAGCGAAAGTGACACTGTTGGTTGCTTACCCTACAGTTATTTCCCTTTCTTACTTGCTAATGGGAAACTGATCTGTTTGTGTGGCACTGTGTCCTGCCTAGGGGGTGAATCTAAGCACATCTGAATCTCTTCTGCCTTCCCAGTTGCCCTTGACTGGATGGATTTGGACCCACTTGAGGCTGACAAAACTTAGTGACTCCTTTGCTGGGGAATCCCAGTAAAGGTTTTCGAAAACTGAGAGGCTACAAGAGAAGATAGCTCTTTTGTTCTGGCTTCTCTCCTGCTTAGTGACCTGTCGCATGGGGATATGATATTGAATCATGATAAATATTTTACACCCATGAGGGACACATCACTGCCATATTGGGAGTAGAGAAATGTGTCGTCAGTGGTCTGTGCTTTTGACACAGGTAAGTTGTCTGTATAACCACTGTGGGGCCATCCAATCCCTTACTTATTAAGTAATAGCACACATCCTTATGGTTTAAGTTACTCTTAGAATGGTTTTTTTGTTTTATTTTGATCAGCCTAAAGCATACAACTGTTGGTATCTCAGAACAATAGTTTATGGTATGGTCAACACTTGGAAATATACCTATCAGATTAGAAGATGGACAAAAGTTTTAAAATGTTTTGGGGGACATGTTATGAAGGTTTGGCTTCCCTAGCCCTCCCCACAGCTGCTTCGAGGGCTCAGTATTTTCTAGAATTACAGGAGAGATCAGAGAGGCTAATGGTAATGGGTGAATCTGGGAGACCCCTAACTTTTATAGAAGCCCCAGGTCACTCTTGTCTAGCAACTGCTTTCTCTTTACTCATTCTTACTCCACGATGACCTCTTATACTTCACTGACACTCCTTCTCAGTGCCCAGGATAGGCACGGGAGTGATATGCGTAGCCTGGAAGATTTCCTCTGAGAAAGTGACCGTGGATTAGCAATGGCTTTGTTCTGGGATTAAGAACCAGGACCTAGCAGGCCAACTGAGGTGTTGTTGATAAGCATGAGGACGAGGTTGAGAAAGGACTGGGAAGTGAATGAAGGGCTGGTCGCTTGAACGGCATTCAAAGCAGGTAGAGACTGAAGACTTGGAACGGCGGACATGGAGGCCAGCCTGTCTGCAGCAACTCTGGCCATGCCTCCCCACCAACCCGTGCCCAAGACTGATTAGCTGGGGTACTGACTTGCTCTCCAGACACACGTGGACGAGGACGATCCCCCACAGTAGATGCTTTCATGCCATTTCCCGAACAGCCGATGCACCACTTTTCCATCCTTGTCAAATACTGTGCCTTCAATCTCACGGGCGTTAGTGCTCCAGTATTTTGCCTAGGATTCCAATGAGAGTTATCTATTTAGTACTTTGGAGTCAACTAATGTCAGATACTAAGAGAAAAAAAAAAAAAAAAAGATGTCCAGAGAAAAAAAAGCATAGGAATGATTCTACATTGCATATAATTTGCTAGCTCTGGGTTCTGGCTTTTTTAAAAAAAAATCATACTTTTAATTACTTAATAAAAATTAACATCTAACCCTTTATTTATAGTTTGTGACGCAACAGTCGACATTGTGAGAGATACAGGTTTTCTCTTCTCCTTTTGCTACACACAACATCAGAAGGAAAGGCTCAGGGCTCACACATTAGCCAAGTAATATAGTTGGCTCCTAAGCCCGCTTGTCTGGAGAAGCTGTTCTGTAGACGTCACCATGGCTCTATTACAATTTAAGACAAAATTAACTCATATATATTCTTTCTCGACAGGAACTGGACAGTCTTTTGCAAACCAACAAAGGGAGCTCCTTTGTAAAGCAACCCATTTTCTGTTTCTCCAACATTTCTCCCCCAAACTAGATTTATTCATCCAATCCACTGGAACGTGATGCGACCCATATTTCCCCGGTGGATCAGTCCTGATCTGAGAGCAGCTCAGTCCCGCTCAGCCTTGCGGGTTTCATACAGTACCGCAAGCTGGCCAGCAGAGGGCGGTCTAACTCCCTAGAGTTGACTTTTCCCCCAAGTCTCCCAGTTACCTGCCCTAAAAAATCCCCAGGAAAGAATGGAAGGCATTACCTCATAAATCAAAACTCCAAGTGCTATTTTCATCCCAAACAGAATCCGTAGTTGGAAACCAGTAAAACTGAGCGGCATTTTTGGGTCATATTCTGGCCGTCTGGTTTCCCCATGCTGTGTCTTATGGGGAAGAGGGGAGGAAGGCCAGAGGACAGCAGCATCTTGGAGCTACATCAGAAGCATTAACCTGAGGTCTCGACTCATGTAAACATGGAGGAAAAGGGAAACAACCACTGTCTAGGCTCTTAAGTGTATTCTGAAGTGGGAGTCGGATTTTCTGTTACAGATGCCCCTGACAAATCCAATGCTGGCAATATGGTGGGACGCCACAGGGGAAGGCACTCACGCTCCACCGGGAAGGCTGCATCTGTTTTCAGATTCTCTTCCAACACCAGAGGCATGGCCAGTATTCTTTTTTTTTTTTTTTAAAGATTTTATTTATTTATTTGACAGAGAGAGATCATAAGTAGACAGAGAGGCAGGCAGAGACAGAGAGAGAGAGGGAAGCAGGCTCCCTGTCAAGCAGAGAGCCCGATGTGGGGCTCGATCCCAGGACCCCGAGATCATGACCTGAGCTGAAGGCAGCGGCTTAACCCACTGAGCCACCCAGGCACCCCCATGGCCAGTATTCTAATTCCCTCTTCTCTCGTAGCCACAGAAATGGATTCTCTGGCCCTGAGTGTATGAGCACCAGGTGGATGGTGGACATGGGACTCAAGCCCATGTCCTTGGCAGAGCTGCTGAGAAGCCGCAGCCCTCACCTGGAACAGGGGCGTAGAGCCCTAGCCCAGATCACCCTTTGCTTCTTTTTGCAGAGAGCCTACGTGACATTTTCGAGGCAGGTTCATTTTTACTTCGCCCCAAACATCATTAGCTTTTTCTCTGTCTACACCCTGGTCTAAATTCTAGGTTATAAGAAAGACCCCAACCCAGCTCTCCATCGAGTCCCCCAGCAGCTCTAAGTGGTGCTGAGAGGTACTGCGTGAAATTCCACAGTTAGAGCCTCATCTCTCTGCTTAGGATTTTGATCTTAATTCAATGCAAATATTCCTTTAAGACCATTTTAAACACATGAAATTTTTAAGGGCAAGAGGAATCTAAGGGAATCAAAGCACTTGCAAAGGTAAGCAGACCATTCCTTGCTTTTGCCTTCGGCCAATCTGTTCATGTCCCCTATGAATGTTCATGAGCCTTTCCAGACATCAGCCTACAGCAGTGAGCAAGAGTAGCTCAGGCTTTTGCTTTTCCGGAGTCAGGGGCGGCAAGGAGGGTGCGGGGACCGAAAATGAAAATACTGAAGTAAACCAACAGTGAGCAAGTTAACTATGGGCGGGAGTAAACACTTGTAAGAAAAGGGGATATGACAGCAAGTGACTAACAAGACTGGGCTGATGACGTAAGGATCTGGGGAGAGGGGCCTGAGAAAAAGAAGGTGGAGAGAGAAATGCCAGTGTGGTCAGAAGATGGTGGGGAAGGAAGAGAAAGGGAACATGGTGGGAACTGAGACTAGAGAGAAAGGAGTGGGTATACGCGTGCACGCATGTGCGGACACAGAACCATGTGTAGGTGTGTGTTCACATGTGTGTATACGTGCAGGCGTGCATGTGTGTGCACATGTGTGAACATCAGGGGTGAGGGGGCAGTGCATACCACACAGGGCCTTGGGGGCCAATGTCAGGAGGCAGGCTTTTATACTGGGAAAGATGGAAGTTGTGGGGGGATTTTTGTGATATACAGCATGACTTTCTTTTTCTAAATCCTAGCAAAATATGCATAACAAAATGTACCACTTTAACCATCTCTAAGCATACAATTCAGTGACATTCAGCACATTCATTCACAGTGTTGAGCAACCATCATTATTATATATTTCCAGAAACTTCTCATCTTCCCAAACTGAAACTGTGTGTCCATTAAACACTAACTCCCATTTCCCAGTTCCCCAGGCCCTGGAATCACCATTCTACTTTTTGTCTCTATGAGTTTGACTGCTTTAGGTATCTCACAGGTGGGGTTACACAGTATCTGTCCTTGTATGTCTGGCTCATTACACGGAGCATAATGTCTTCAAGCTTCATGGGTATTGTAGCATGATGAGTTATGTTTTAAAAGTGTCCCTCTGGCCACTCCCTTGAGGACAGACCATGAGGAAGTATGAGTAGAAGGAGGGAGGCCAGAGGGGCCATGGCCCTGATCCAGGTGAGAGAGGTTGGGAGAGGGGACACGGGGGAGCCCCTGGCATTGCTTGCCTGATGGCACAAAGGTGAAGGTGGAAAGTTCCCTGAGATTCCCTGTGCCCTCGGGCCCCAGCTCTGCCAAGGCATTTCCGGGGTCGACCTCACAAGGCCACCTGGGTTACCTTGATAAAATTCACTTTGCAGTGGCAGGAGTCATCATTCAGGTTCTTGATGACAATCTCTCCATAGTGCTCGATCCATCTCTGGCCACTTAAGATGTTATGGATGCAAGAGGTCACTTTGTTCCACTCAAAATGATCTCGGAAGCTAAAAAGGAGGCAACAGTGACCTTAACAATTCCCAGAAGAGCTAGCAGCAGATGCAAACAAATATTCCTATTTTAAAAAATAAAGTCCCAGGATGAATTACTCATTCCTTCATTTACAGAACCAACACTGACTGAGGGCCTAAGCTGTGCCGGGCATCCTGAGCCTCTGCTCTCAGACATGCAGGCCACAGAGGGCCACAGCTGGCAGAGCTGGGCACTGTGGAGGCTGCCAGGGACTTACTAGAAGCTGGTGATCTCCTGGAAAAACCTACTCTCTCCTTTGACAGAGGAGAAAACTGAGAGCCAGAGGCGACTTGTCTGAGTCATCAGACTAGAGATGGGAAGAGGCAAAGGGGAAGGTGTGGGGATCTCACAATCTCCTCTCTCTCCACACACACACATGCATATGCATATATACATACATATATGTGTATGAATACAGTCTAGGCAGAGAGACATAACTATCTTATATATAAATCTTAATATACACATATATCTTTTTATGATGAGAAAGCATTCAGGTACTACTTTCAGAGTCATATAACAGTTATGAGGATAATGGTAATAAGACCAAACACTTAACACAGCATAGACTCTGTGCCAAGGACTTTCTTCAGTGCTTTGCAGATATTATCTGTTTAATCTTCACAACAGCCCTGCAGAGTAGGTGGTCCTGTTTTGAAGATGAGGGAATGAATGCTCAGGAAGGTTAAGGAACCTGCTCAAGGATCTGCAACTGGTAAGTGAGCATCCAAGTCCTGTGGGCCCCAACCCGGAAGCCACCCTCACAGCCACTTTGCTTTATAAATGAGGGTCTGTAATCCCTGTAGAATCAAGATGTTCTTCTTAAAAAGAATTTTGACAGTGAGGTAGGCCAATGTTGTTAAAGCAAAACCACCACCCCTAATTTTGTTAGGAAGTAAAAATAAGTTTTTAAAAAGCTTCTGTTCACCAAAACCAAAGCTTTGGTTTCCAGGTAGCATTCCCATGGGAAGGAAAGAAAATGTGAGCTTGTCGGAACGAGCTACATTTGAACTTATTGTCAAACCAATTAAAAGAAAAAGGAAAAAACAAAACAAAACACATATGCAACACCATGGGGTATAACGGGAATCCCATTCCTAAAGCTGTATCTTGGCCCTAAATTCCACACAGTTCCCAACCACAGAAGAACTTACGCTGGAAGAGTCACATGGGTTGTGCCAATAGGAACAATTTCCATGGATTTGCCCCAGAATTTGTTTTTCCATCTCACATCTGAAAAGAAATATCAATTAGTGCATATCTAGCAGGAAAGCTACACAGATCAAAGAGTTCTTGGGCTGGATAAATAATCACTATGTAGAACAGTCTCTCCATAATAAAGTCCATTACATTATAGGATAACACTTCATTCAATATAAGTACCAACTGAGTATCTGGGACAGAATCAGGAAAACTAAAATTATAGATGAAGTCCCTCTCTTAGAAGAACTCATGGTATGAAGGGCAGACAAAAGTGAAAACAAGTAATGCTCAAATAGAGAAGCATGGGCTATAGCTAAGTACATTGTATGATGAAATGGAGCCAGGGAAGCAGGAATGACCAGCACTCTTGGGGAAAGCATCAGAAGGGGCAACTTAGATCAGGCTTTGAAGAATAAGCAGGAGTTCACCAGGCAGAGAAAAAGTGACAGAAGGCAGAAGACAGCTTGTCCAAAGAGAGAGAGAGGTGTAAAAGAACAGGGTGTGCTTCTGTCCTATGGGTCTTGGATTGTTTAGAGAGAAGAGCAGAGAGACATATTGAGCACAAGAATAATGGGCTCTAGAAGCCAGGCAAAGAAGTTTGGTATGTATACCTTGGGGGAAATAAGATATTTCTTTAGACAGAAAATGCATGCGATTATATTCGAACTTTGCAAAGACAATTGGGAGAAATACAGTTAGTGGACCAGGAGCACAAGAGATGAGAAGGAAGGTGACTAGTTACAAGGCTGCTGTAATTGGTCAAGAGGTAAGTGAGGGTGAAGTGAACTAAAACAGTAGCAGACAGAGTAGAAGGGAATGATCCCAAAACCTCAAAGAAGTAGAAACAGAACTAGTTGGCAAATTAGATGCAGATTCTGAACAACAGGGAGAATTTGTAGGTGATTTCATATCTGTCTCACTTGCATAAATGGTGGCACCAACAAGGAGAAAAACAGAAGAATAGAGTAGAGCATGGCTCAGTCAGTTAAGCTTGTCTGCCTTTGGCTCAGGTCATGATCTTGGGGTCCTGGGATCGAGTCCCGCATCGGGCTCCCTGCTCAGTGGGGATCCTGCTTCTTCTTCTACCCTTCCCCCCTGCTCATGATTGCTCTCTCTCTCAATTTCTTTCCTTCAAATAAATATCTTTAAAAATGAGAGACTAGAATAGAAATAGAATTTTTAAAAAGGATAGAAAAAGGGTGGCATAGACAGGTGATCCCACAGACTGTTGCATGACAATACATAGACCATGGGGGAGCCAAGGTGAAAGTAGGGAGGCCAGTAGGGGGCCATGGCCATGAACCAGGAGAGGGATAGGGCTGGGACCAGGCAGCCCCTAGCCACATATATATGATTTCACTTACATAAAATATCCAGAATAGGCAAATCTATGGAGATAGAAAGTAGGTAAGGGGTTGCCTAAGGATGGAAGAGGCTGATGGAAATTGGAACTTGTGGTGGGAATAGGTATTGGCTAAAGGGTGTTTTTTTTTTTTCCAAAGATTTTATTTACCTATTTGACAGACAGAGATCACAAGTAGGCAGAGAGGCAGGCAGAGAAGAGAGAGAGATGAGGAAGCAGGCTCCCCATGGAGCAGAGAGCCCGACATGGGGCCCGATCCCAGGACCCTGAGATCATGATCTGAGCCGAAGGCAGAGGCTTTAACCCACTGAGCCACCCAGGCGTCCCTTTTTTTCTTTTTTTTTGAGTGATAAAAATGTTCTCTTTTTTTTAGAATTTCATTCATTCATTTGTTCATTCATTCATTTATTAATAGAGCTCAAACGGGGAGGGGCAGAGGGAGAGGATGAGAGAGAATCTCAACATACCACACACTGAACATAAGAGCCCAACATAGGGCTCAATCCGATGACCCTGACATCATGATATGAGCCAAAATCAAGAGCCAGATGATCAACTGATTGAGCCACCTAGGCACCTCTGGAGTGATAAAAATGTTCTTAAATTGATTGTCATGATAATCAGAAAATTTTGTGAATATATCAAAAATCACTGAATTATATATACCATTTAATTAGGTGAATTGTATAATATACAAATTACATCTTGATAAAGTTGTTACCCCCCAAAAAAGATAATCGTTGTTTTTGTTTTTTTTTAAGATTTTATTTATTTATTTGACAGAGAAAGAGATCACAAGTAGGCAGAGAGGCAGGCAGAGAGAGGGGGGGAAGCTGGGCTCGATCCCAGGACCTGAGATCATGACCTGAGGCCAAGGCAGAGGCTTAACCCACTGAGCCACCCAGGCACCCAATAATTGTTGTTTAAAGCAAAAACAGTAATGATATATTGTGGGGTTTATAACATACATAAATAAACATTACTTCTGCAATAGTTACAAAGGTTAAGAGAGGGGAAATGGAAGTATATGTGTAAGTTTCTTATATGTAAGTGGCATATTATTACTTGAAGATAGACTTATGATATATTAAACATATATAATATAAAGCCTAAAGTAATAACTAAAAAAATGAAACAAAAAGGTATAGCTAAGAAGTCTACAAAGGAAATATGATGGAATCATAGAAAGTACTCAGTTCAAAAGAAGGCAGAAAAAAAAGGGGAGCAAAGAACAGATAACAACAGACGACAAATACTAAGAGGCCACATTTAAATCCATCTACATCAATAATGATAATAAATGTAAATGGCCTAAACAACCTGGTTAAAAGGTAGAGAAATGTCAGATTGATTTAAAAAGCAAGATTTGGGAGTTGTGAGTCTATGCGAATAGGTGAGATTGCCCAGGAAAAGGCTGATGAGGAAGAAAAGAAGAGGGCTAAGGAGAAAACTGTCATGTAAGGTAAGGAGCACACAGAAACTAATTGGAGAAAATCCATATTATCCGTAACTTAAAAATAATAATAAAGGGCTTACAGGGTCAAAGACATTTAGCAATTAGAAGGTTAGAGATATTACAAGAATTATTCCCAGAAGGTTTCAGTGAAAGTTAGAGGTGTTTCTAATCAAGCTTCACTTCTAAACTTTAATAGTTTAGAAGATTCAGAAAAAGTACTATAGTACTTGTACCCTAAACTGGTAATATTGTCTCCAGAGAAAGAAACTGGTTGGCTGGGAACTGGGGTGGGGGAAGGAGCTTTTTTTAATGGCAAAGGAGTAAATCAAGTGTCATCACTTGATTGAGTGATGAGTTGACAGAGAAAAATGCTTTCAAGTTTGATGTGTGTGCTCATTGTTTGAAAAACCAGGATGCTCAAATTTTCCTTGCCCTTCAAATAAATATATGTTAACAAAATTAATTAATCCATTCAGAAAATATTTGCAGTCTTACTTACTCTTCAGAACAATTCACCCTCCTCCCAAATCCAAAATACAAACAGAGACAACTGCCAAACTAAAAAAAATCAGCAATCTAAAATGTACTGTTTAGAAATAAAATCAAAACTTTTCAAAAGCAAGAAGAACCCTGTTGTCTAAACTCTGATAAATACCTATAAATATTTAGTGTCTCTTGAATACACAAGACATTTCAAGTGGCTGTGGAATTAGAGAAAAAGTTACAGGAATAAGTGGTGGTGGCCCAGACACAGATGGAGAATTTTTTTTTTTTTTTTTAAGGGAACAACTAGATTATCTTCCTGAATCCTTAATTATGAAGTAGACAGGTGTTGGAAATTGTTCAGGGGTGACAGGCAAGAATGCCAAGTGGTGTAGATCCATAAAACAAGACCCAAGTCCAGGGCCTACCTGTGATCTTCATAAGCACCTGCAGTAGTTCTTGAATAAAATAGCTCTAGAACATTACAAAAAGCGATGCAGGCCAAATATATGAGCACATTACCTTGCCAGAAAACAAAATTTCCAGACTCAGCGTGACATGCAGAGATAGGTGGATGGTGGCTGACCTGATGGAAACAAAGGCCAGAAAACAAAAAATTAGTTCACTTTTGTGTCTCATGAAATCCGTTCCTTCGCCCTTGCCCTGAGAGGTGACACAATAAGTGAATGAAAACTTCAGTTTTCCTTCAACAAGTTGGTCCTCAAGAGGGCGCTCCTCATACAGCCAGCCCCAATTTGCTCATCTTGCTGAGGACTGAGAAGAAATCAGGTGCATGGAAGCCTCCCGAAGTACAGGAAAAACAGCCAAGAGGTAAATGTTGGGGATAGAGACACGTTTTGAAAGATGTAAGAACAAAAGCAGGGTCTCTCTCAAATAAATATATAAAATCGTAAAAAAAAAAAAAGACTGGTTCAAGAAAATTTTTAATGTTTATTTTTTAAAATTTTATTTATTTATTTGAGAGAGAGAGAATGTGAGAGAGAGAGAGAGAGAGAGCACGGTGTGCGGGGGAGGCCAAAGGAGAAGCAGACTCCCTGCTCAGCAGGGAGCCCGATGTGGGACTTGATCCTCAGACTCCAGGATCATGAGTTGAGCTGAAGGCAGTCGCCTAACCAACTGAGCCACCCAGACACCCCAAGAATAATGTTTCTATATAAAAGAGCCAAGCAATTATTGAAGAAATGTTAGTCAACTGCTAAGGAAAACATCTAATTCATTTTCTGTCAAGATAAAAAAAATCTTGAGTAAATATGGAATTTTGTTCCAGGAAAGAGAATTCCCCACAATGGAGACTGTTGTACATTTCTCTGGGTTTTGTCACTGGGGTCATTACTTCTGTGCTGTTCACTAATGAAGAAGTTAAAGAGAAAACCCAGCTCCTGAGCTGGGTTTCCTCATTTCCTTAGTAACTCGAGGCAAGTGAGCAGTGTACATATTACAATTACAGTTTAGGACCAGTGAAATCAGACAAATGCTGTCAGCAGTGTTTCAAAGTTTGTCTGACTTAGCTGGTTCTTAGCAAGTATCTTACATTTAGCTGGTTCTTAGCAAGTATCTTACATTTAGAGCATCTAGCCTAATTAACGCCTGTCTATTACCCAAGAGACCAACATCAGAAAAATTCAGCAGTGTTTCCCAAACACACCGACAGGAAAGAAACAGACGTAAACCTCAGCACTTTAGGTTTACATCAGTGGTTTTCTGTGGGGAGGTGACCCATCTCCAGTCACTCGCCTTGCCCTAGACCCTCAGCTGTAATGAGGAACAGGGTCTGAAAACCACTTGTACGGGCCTGTTCCTTCGGCGAACTCTGGGATAGGATAGGCTAGTACAGAGTCGTTCCGCATGCACACGTAACTGACGGAATTTCAACTTTACCAACTTGACCCGAAGAAAAGTAGAGACAAAGATTTCAATAGTCCACGTATCTTTCAGGTCTCAAGGAACATAAATGCCAGATCTGACATGAGGTAGGAGATGCAAATTTGCTACCCCTTGGATGGTTTTCATTCCCACAGGCCTCTTAAGAATGTAGCCCCTCTCTGTGCCTATGGGATTTTCTTTCTTTTTTTTTTTTTAAACTTTTTTTTTCCTCCAACAGAGAGATCGAGAGAAAGCACGAGTAGGTAGAACGGCAGGCAGAAGGTGAGGGAGCAACAGGCCTGAGCCCCAATGTGGGGTTTGAACCCAGGACCCCAGGATCATGACCTGAGCCAAAGGCAGGTGCTTAACGATTGAGCCACCCAGGTACCCCCTATGGGATTTTTTAGGGCAATATTCACTTTTAGCAGGGTTTAGAAGCCTAAGTCTTCTTCTGGCCTTCATTGTCTTTTTGTCATTGAACTCCTTGGAGATATTTAATGTCACAAAATGAGGCATTCCTGTTCCCCCTTCCTCCTCCAACAGCTCTCAATGAAAATAGTGGAGTTAACTACTACATTGGGATCATATAAAACTAAATCAGGGAAGACAACCTGCACCCTATTTCTTCCTCCGCTCCCCCCACCTACTCCCCAGTGCAGCAGGTGAGGAGCTACGGAATGTTCCCCTTCCCCCAGAACGTAGGCATATTTTAAAGTAGATAATTAAAAGTAGATCATAGTCATTCCCACATAAACAATGTGGTAAAAAATGTAGGGTTTGCAGTCTTGATTAAGAATGTGGCATTTCATAGGTGTGGCCAAATCTGGCTACAAACATTAAACATCAAAGCAAAGTACAGTATATACAAACTATAAATCTCTTCTGTAATAATTTTAAATCCCATAAAACTGGGATAAATATACTATCCACATGAACTATAAAAGAAGCCCTATCATACCATAAAATCTATACACACCCATAAAAATGCAACTTTGACCTTTTAAAACTATTGTGTCAGACTCATGAATCAGTGCTTAGCAGAAGACCTTTATGTGGGTTCAAAATCGGTTTTCTGAACGAATAAATCTCAATGGTCAAATATCAATGATTATGCTTATTTTTTTTCTGGCTTAAAAGGGCCTTTGGGAGTGATTTATTTGGTGCACATTGCTTTTAAGAAGTTTACAAAGCTTCCCAGGAAAATTGAAGTGAGGTCTGATTTTTTCATAGATATATTTTCTTACAACAGGTATTTATTCATGAAACATTTCTGGAGCATGTGCCGTGTGCCGCACTAGCATCAGGGAATGAGGGAGGGCTTCTGGAGCCCCAGAGATGCAGGTCTTAACTCGGCAACGTCATCTAATGGCTGAAGGGCCTTGAGCAAGTTTTTAAGTCTTTGGGCCTGAGTTACCTCATCTATAAGATCTATAAGGCTCATACCACTGGTTTTGCAAACAAAAAGATGACACATGAAATTATAGGATCTTGTGCTGGTATGAAGTGGGCAGGGACTAAAATTTAGCCATTTTTCATGAGTAGTATTTCCATTTAGTCATCATGGTGACCTTGACCTCATGTCTTCATTAGTCTTATTTTATACATTAGGAAACAAAGAACCTCTCCAATGCTACATGGTTAATTGGGGGTGGCTTTAAATCAAGGTCCTCTGATTTCAAATCCAGTGTTTTCCTTTATGTCCCGGCTGTGTCTCTATGGCCGCTTTCAAAGCTGGGCTCTGGTCCTCCCCAAAGCCTCCACACACAGTTAAGATCCCATTGCATGGATATTTAGACAAAGAATCTTCTGAGTCTGAACTTCCAATTTCTCTGAGTCTCATTTACGTCATTGTAAAATGAGGTCTGAGGGTCTCTCTGACTTCACAACGCTCTAAATCTAATTCTCAGTGTCTCTTCAAATCCCAGCACCAGCGGATGTCAGCCAATTGGGAAAAGATTATACTAAGACTTTGACGAACTCGAAGGCCCATTGAAAGGGGGTAATTCAAGGCTCATGACTTAATTTTTGTTGACGGCAATCTTTCTAAAATCTACTGGAACAGAGAATGACGAGCACAATATAACCTTAGTGTTGGATTTGGTTGAGTTTCTATTCTCGTTACATCTTAACCCAGATGTAACTCAGAAAGTTATTTGATTTTGAGTCTGAACTGACCCAGCCCTGAAGGAGACAGTGTCTGTCAGCTTACAGGGTAAATCCAGTTTAGACGGATTTCTAGCATCCCTCTCTGCTTCTCCTCTCCATCCCAAATCAGAGCAATCTCTAACTGGTAAAGATCCCCAAACATTCGGGAATTTAGTATATATGGTCCTTACTGTTCAGGTATTTTTATGTAGCTTTCTTTCTACAAGCCCAAAGTCAGTGAGTTCCCCTACTAGTTGAGAATTCCTGTCATTTATTTGTATCTCTCAAGACTTTCTTACCCTGACCTGACATTTTTTATTTGTTTTAAATGTACTTTATATAAGAGGTGAGTGGTATGGGGAGAAGCAGATGAAAAATTTGCGTATTTGTGAGTATATCTTTTTCAGATTTAGAAGAGTCTCCCTTAAATACATCACTTCTGCAGCTGCCCGAAGACCTAACTATAGAGTCTACCTAGTCCCTGGCTCGCCTCCAACCTCAAAGGACAGCTTGTAGGAGAGAGGACGAATGCCAGGTGAGAAATCATGCAGGCGCAGGAGTGTTCATCGTTCACTGACTGCCTCTGATGTGTCCGGAGCTGTCCTAATCCCTGGGGATAGAAAGCATTCTGGTGCAGAAGTGGGCGAGATAGATAAGGAAATAAAGAAATAGATAACATAGATAAAGAAATTTGTCAGTAGTAACAGGTGTTAAGGAGAAGAATGCAAGACATGAGGATGGGAGGATGGTAAGTGGGAGTGCTATTCCAGACAGGACAGTAGGGGCAGGACACTCTACCATGAAATCCTCTGGGGCTAGGAGAAATAAGGAAGTGCACCGCATGGAAAACCGGGAGAAGTGCATCAGAGGGAGAGGACACGAGCACTGCTTAGGGCTAGCCAACGCTCTGTATGTTTTAAGAGAGGCAGAAGGCCAGTGCAGCTGACACTGAATGAGTAGAGGTGGGAGAGGTATCCTCTCCGGGGCTAGTATCTTGGCGGGGAGGGGAGAAGGCTTTGTGGGGCCATGGCCAGGACTTTGGATTTTATCCCAAGTGACAGGGGAAATCATTGGAGGGTGTTGAGCAGGTGTTGCTCCTGTTTTGAAGCAATCACTCTGGCTTTTAGGTGAGAAACTGGCTATGGAAACAAGAGACCAGCTAATGAGTCTACTGCAATGATCCTAGTCATTGATTACCTTGGTTTGGGCTTGGAGGCCAACACCAGTGGGGGAGCCAGTGAAAATTGCTGGCTGTGGAAGGAAGGCTTCTGAAGGAAGACCCCAGGATTTGCTGATCAATAGGATATGGATTCTAAGAAAACCCTATTAAGGATGATGCCAAAGTTGCTGGCCTGATTTTGGGGGGAGAAGGCAGTTGCCAATTATTTTCTCTTCCTGCATGTTCAGGATTCATCACTTTGTTTGACAAGCCTATGGCTTCTTTTCAAAAGCAGAAACAAAACACACATTAAATGATAACTTGACCCAGAAGTGGAGAACACTGGTTTAGCAGCCTTGGATTTGATCCATCGTTAGTTCTCTTTGGACAGCCTGAATTTCCCTTCTGAAAACCTCTTTAAATAAGATGCCACTTTAATCAGTAGTGACAAACTCTGCCTGCTAATAGATAAAAGAGCTATTTTATTGTGAGTGAGCACGCAGGGAGAGAAGTGATAAGCATGGTACTTATAAGTCCGTCCAAGAATGTATGTTCATAGTTCTCGTGATGAGTAACAGAAAAGCAAGGAGGGCCGAGGCCAGGGAGCAAAGGGAAAAAAAAGACTTCATTTGAGTCTTTTATGGGTTAGTGACTGCCAATAACTCCATTTAACTTTTCAGTCCTAAACTCTAAACAGCACGTGGCTGGGGGAGGGGATCCAAGGAGAGTAAATGGTTAGAATGGCCCCAACAGTCATCCGAGAACTGAAGTTCCAGATCACCAGGAATGATCTTTTAGGTAATAGCTTAACTGCACAGCCTTTAGATACCAGACCTTTCCCAAAGGTCTACAAACAGAAGCAGCGCTAACTGAAATCAGTTTTCTGAACCAGTCTCATCTGAACCCGTCTCCGATGACGCTCCAAGCCAGCTGCTTAGCTGTCGGCCAGGCGGCAGGAGAACCAAGTCAGGAAGAACCTGTCGGTAGGACACTTGATCCCTGAGGAGAAAAAGGAAGTCCTGTCTGAATTCCCCCTTTTCCGAGCTTATTTAGACGGCCAAGGCTGAATCACACAGTTCTTGGCACATCAAAGTCCTCCTCAGAGAAGGTGGTACAGCCGGAGGGTGGAACGCAGGACAGGAATGTTTATGATTTACTCCCAAATGTTGCTTATTCACAAAGGTCACGCCCCAGAGCACAATGGGAGCTGGGCACAAAGTCCTACCTGCGTTTGGTCTAAGTGACAAGGGCAGGCCAAGTCCCAGAGTCTGATCAGCATACGGAGCGCTTTTTTCTCACCAGAAGCCAATGACCCCGGCAGCTCGGAGCACAGTAACTACACCTACGAGAGACCCCAAGACAGGTGAGGGAGGGAGGCCACTGTAGGGAAACAGTGGGCACTGGGAGAGGCGAATGCTCCAGGCCTCAGTTTCCCTGCCTCTGACTCATCCTCACCTCACCTGCCACACAGAGGGTATTTTGAAAATCAAGTAAGAGTCTGTGCGAGTGTGAAAAGCACAAAGGACTCTGAACCTAACTGTTCATTGTTGTGAGGAAAATTTTGAGCAGCCAAGTGCTTCCTCTGGTTTCTGACCGCATGAGTCATTTTGATGGGGCATTTTGGGGTCTTTGGGGTGAGAGACGACACAGAGGAGCAAGCTGGTAGGAGGCCAAACTCTGTGAAGAAGCAATTATTTCAGTGTCTTCAGCCACTGACCACTTCGAACAACCACATCCCCACCCAAACCACAGAACAACACCGTTCAAAGGCTTGGAGTGAAGGATAGATGTAGTTTTTCAAATCTCGAAAACTCCACAGAAGAGCCGAGTTACCCTAGTTTCCTTTCACTGGGGTAAGTGAGTTCCATCAGCATCCTTGTTAAAGTAAAATCCCACCCAAAAGTACTAGTTTGGGAGTCCTACCCAGCTTACATTCAGTACACGCAACTCGCTGTAGAGAGGTACCAGAAGGCAAAGCAGGCCCCGAGCTCTGAAAGCCGACGTGTAGCGCCCGCACGTAATGCATTGCTGGGAGCCGCGTGCTGTCTCCCTCAAGGCAGAACATCTCCCGGGCCAGGAGCAGGAAGAGCCGCGCTGGCAGGTACCAACATGCAACCCACCAAGCAGCCCAGCATGCTCTGTCAGTGTGTCTAAGTCTAAGAAATTAGACATAGACGGTCTTTGTGCTCAGTGAGTCAGCGGGTCGGCATAAATGAGGCTGGGAGAGGGAGCGCAGGAGGCTGAGCTGATGTGTCTCCTGGGGGCCCTGCCCTAAACCCCTACCACTCCTGGGGCCGTGGGCAGCTGAGCACCTCGAATTCAACAGCCGCCTCTCCTTCTCATTCTATGCTCACCCGGTGATGAAATTCTGGTTCCCAAGTCATCTGTGTATGGGGAGAGGGATGCCTGGTCTTGTGACCAAAACCTGCGGGTCCCCAGGTCAGGCTTACTCTTTACAGCAAATGCACAGAATGGCGTTCTAGTTTATAGACCGGTTTCTTAAAGGCTTAGCTAAGGCGACTCTGTCCTTGAGAGACTCTTCCGTTCCTGGGTGTCCTCAAAGAACCAGCTCTCTGAGGCCCTGAGGCTTAAATTCTAGGCAGATGATGGGGCTCCAGCATGATGGGGACTGGTGAGCCCACATGGCTGACTGTCTGTTAGAGACTCGCCAGGGACAGTCTGCCTGCTTCAAACCCCTTGAATTATACACCTTATTTACTATTCTTAACATGGCGCAGTTAAAAGCATTTTCAAAAAGTTGCCCTCAAGATGAGAGCAACAGCCAAGTGCAGAACGTTCACTGTCTTCCGTGGGAGTATTTTATACCTCAGTGTAGCCCTTCGCCCGAGCCATACGGCAGCCTAGGGGTTCAGCATTATAATTCCTGTTTTAGAGAGAAAGACGCTGTTGAGGCTCAGAAAGTTTAAGTAGCTTATCCAAGGCCACACACAGAAGAAGTGCTGGGGTTAGGGTATGAAAGCAGGTCTCCATTACACCTGCACACCCTATACTGCTAACAATGGCCAGATCTCTTTCTTGCTTATTTCCTGGGGATCCATTTCACGGAAGCACAGACTGAGTTATGTAATGCTCTCTCTGTTTTTGTACACACATGTCCAGCAGCTCTGTTTTCTCGCTCCGTGTCACCCTTGGAGGTGTGCAAGCAGGTCCGCCCGCCAGGGGCTCATGGGATGGAAGCTCAGCTTCACGTGAAGCCCACGTTACTACTCTTTCCTTACACCATTCATCCTGTCCTGACTGTCTGCTGTAGTCTGGGCTATTTCGGGCCGTTATTTCCTCACATGAGTGCATATAATGCCATGGTAACCAAATCACATTTTCATTTATTCCCATTCCATTTTAGCTTTGGTATTTAAATAACCCAGTTGAATTTGAATCGAATTATCTTTTCCTTTTAACTACTGATTTAACTCTCACTTCCTCGATATCCATATTTAATTTGTTTTAGCTTCTAACTGGAAACCTACTAAAAATGTACTTTGGGATTGTGGTATATTCCTTTGCCTTTGAATCTTGGAGAACACTGCTTGTCCTTGACAATGAAGACCAGCACCAGCCTCCTAAGTCCCTCAGCTACAGGCCTTTCCACTTCTACCTGCAGGATGAAAATCCATTGACAAAAGGGGCAGAGCAAGATAACAGGAAGGAAAATAACATGCTAGTGTCCCGCCCATTTTCCCTCAGTTTTCCAAGAACTGGGAGGAGAGAAATGTACAGAAGCAAATGTGTTTAATGCTCCCAGGCTGACATTTAGGGATATGCGGAGGGTGGACATGTTGGGTTGTTGTCTTAACTAGAGGTGAGAGGAGTCTCTTTTATTTTCAGTATTAAGACATCCTATTTCAGCTAAACAATCCTTACCAACAGATACTCAGGATGTTCCAGTATCCCACTATTCCAAACCATGGTGTCACGTATCAATCACGACCACAAACACTCCTATCACACTTCACCCTCCACGTATGACACCATGCCGAGCCCGTGGTCGAAGAGTATCTCAATTAATCATCACAAAGCCATCTGAGGTCTGTAACCACTGTCATTATTTCCGCTTTAAAGAGGAAACTGAGGCATAGAGAGGTTAAGCGACTTGCCCAGGGTTACAAACCTGGTGAGAGTCAGAGTTGAGATTTGAACCTAGGCTGACCCCAGAGACCCTGCTCTTTCTTCTCGAATATTGTTATCTTCTAATGCTTATGTGGGAAAGTCTCAACGAACTTCAAGGAATGCAGGCTACATCAGTATAAAGTATGTCCACCCATCAGATGAAAACAGGCACTGCCGGCCCCCAGCCCCCATCCCACTGCCGTCTCCCCGCACCTGGAACAATGCTGGGTAGGTTTTACACGCTCAAGAAATAGTTATTGATTGATTGAATGAATAAATACATGAATGAATGATTCCTCTTAAATAAAATCAAGAACGATGTCTTTCTTTGGTGCTACCCATTTCCATAGTGACGTTCATACCCCAGAAGGACAAGGTCAATGAGTAAGGGTGTACACTTTAAATCTTTAGATCAGTTTGGGCAAATGCTTCACCCTTTGAAATCTGTCTCCCTATGGCTTTACACAGAGGGCACTGTGGATGCCTGCTGTCAAAGGCGGGCGCTGCCTTGCAAGTGCCTTCCTGCTCACAGGGGTGGTCAGGTTTCAGTGGAAGGGAAATGGTTCTTTCCCTTTATGTGTAAATGCACTGTAATTATCTCGGTTGCTTTAAAGCCCGAGAAAGGCAGACAATAAATATTTCAAAAGCACATGTAATGGAAGGCGTGAGTGACTCCTTCAGTGCAAGCCGATATAAAGGGGTACACAACAAACAAAAAGGGTAGATAGCCACCTGCTCTGAAAAAAACTGGAAGCCTTTGTCCTCACGGATACACTCATACGTTTCTCCGAGAACAGGATTAAAGGGCTTGCTCCCAGCTCGGAAGTAGCTAGACGCATATGCTGAGACAGCGAAGGCGGCCACGTACACCTGAGGAGAGGGAGGAAAGAACTTTATTATTTCTTTAACAAACAAACATTTTTTTAAACAAACAAAGACACAAACACAACAAATTTCTCCCTTGATGGTTTATTTTGGAAAGCCAACAATTTATCTCTGGTTTAGAGACAACCAAACCAACTTTGGTTTAAAGTGGCAGGTTTAAATAAAGTTCATTTTGGCCCAGAGACAAACAAAGCAAACATTTGCAAATGGCCCATCTGTCCTAATGTCAGTTGGTAGAGGCTTTCAAGAGGATGATATTTATCAAGTGAGCTCCTCTGTTCTTGAGCTGTTCAGCCAAGTCCAGTAGCTCTAACCTGATAATAATCCTAATTCTCAGGAAGGAGAGAGAAAAAAACATTAAAGGAGCCAAACTCCCCTCAGAATTCAGGAAAAGCAACCATTCCTAACTAGATACTGTGGAAACCTACAAACTCATTCCGACAAAAGAAAATCTGTGGGGCGCCTGGGTGGCTCAGTGGGTTAAAGCCTCTGCCTTTGGCTCAGGTCATGATCCCAGGGTCCTGGGATCAAGCCCCACATCGGGCTCTCAGCTCAGCGGGGAGCCTGCATTCTCCTCTCTGCCTCTCTGTGATCTCCGTCTGTCAAATAAATAAATAAAATCTTAAAAAAAAAAAAAAAGAAAAAAAAAAAAGAAAATCTGTGATAGCAATTTCCTGAGTTTTCTGTAACAAACCACAGGACAGAACACAGTGCCTTTGAAAGAATCTGGCTTTTCTGGGAGGAAAAATGAAAAATCAAAAGGCAAAGGCAGGACAGGCTATAGATAAACATGAAATAAGCACTCTCTGTGACGCTCTCAGCATTTTTATTAGTTCTCCTTTCAGGCCACCAAAAAGACACATTATTTTTCTAGTCTTTTTTGGGGAGGGGCGAGTACACAACATTGAACCTAGGTAGTGATAGCAACTTCCCCTTTCTACCAGTGAGTAACAATCTCAAGGCCTCCCCTTCCCAGCACACTCCAGGAGGTTTCTTATACTGGGGGAGAAAGCTGAGCGCCTTTCATAAACGTTCACTAGTCACACTACTTTTCTTAAGCCTTTTGCATATAGGACCCACTTTTCCACTCACACTACAGAATACTGTAGAGCATCTGGAGGCTTATAAAAATCAATTCAGTTCGCTCAATTCTGTTTTTGTTCTGGAAATCTGGGGATCTGTGCCTCTCTTTGCATCCCCACATATTGGTTACCTGTTAAACAGGAAGCTCACGCTGTCTATATGGAATGTTGAATAAAGCCTGAATCACCGGCACAATTTAAAATGTAACAGAATCTGGTGTCATTCCTAATGCTGGGGGGAGAAGGGAATGAGGGAGCAGGCACACGGAAGCATCCCCCTCTTAGGCCGGTGACCTGAGAGGGATCCCATGCAGGGGCATGAGCAGACCTACAGAGCAGTGAACAACCCACAGTTATGGTTCTTGTGCAATGCCTTCCTGTCCTTTCCCTTCCAGGTGCATTGTAGTGGAACGCAAAGCCTTCCCTCAAAGTCCTTCTCAAGGTCAAGTCCACCAATCAATCAGCTGACACTCTAAGAGTCTCTAAATTTCTATAAGAATGAAACACCATGAAGAATATTTTCATCTTTAAAGTCAGTCTTTTAAGAAAAGAGCTGTCCACAAATGTTGACTTCCCACACTTGCTTTAGAAGCCATCTGCCTCCCTTTGTTCAGCAGAAATTCTCTAGGAAAGAATAACAAAGAAGATAAAAACACAGAGCAGCTTTTTTCTTCGTCTTATTATCATTAGTTATCAAGAAAGTCTCTTTGACGGAGAAGTCCCTGGAGACCATGGAACAGTGGGATGCATCTCTTGTCCATAGCTCTCTTCATCCACAGAAGATGAAGGGGCATCCATGCCCCTTCATCTTCAAATCACTAATGTAAAGAAGTTTCAGTAAGGGTCAAAACTAGGAAACACTCAGAATTTAGAAAAGAATGATGTCCTCCATCAGCGAGAGAACGACTTAGGGTCAGGTCCACGAAGCCCAGGGAGGTGTGCCAACTCCAATTTAGCCCATGAGCAAATGCCCAGCACAGAGATTGCATTCGGGGGAAGACACTGAGGTCCAGCCACCCATACCAACAATGACCTTACCGTGAAAGCAGGTAACATATGAGGGAGCCGAGAGAGGAAGGGACACTCAATGTCAAAGAACAAAGTCAGCTAGTCACAGAGAGGGCTGATTTGGCCGTCACCCGACCACCAGGGTCCATTCTCTCCACCCCACAAGACAGGGGAAAGATGAGAAACACCTGGGGAACCATTCACTGACCAGCCCATCACTTGATCAGAAGTAATACTGAGTAAAGAACAGAAGGCGAATTTTTCTAAGATAAGCCTTTTTTTTTTCCCTTTCCTTTTCTTTTTTTAACTTACTCTATAGCATCAGAGTAGGGTTGGAACAATCATCTTTCTTATGTAAAAGCCTCCACTATGAATGTTATTTTCAAAACTCTAGTTGATTGTGGGACCATTCCAAGAATAAACAAAGCATTCTCAAGGGAAATATACCCTGGACAGGAAAAACAGCTTGAGAAATTAAATTCTGTCCACCCAGGATAGTAAAAAATAAACATGCAGACAGCCTTCAAAATATGGTTTCCAGTCAGGCATATCGGGACAATCCCTTGGAAGGTTCTGGAGAAAAAGGAAGCGTGACACCTCAGAGCTGAACTACCCAGAGGCACCGTCACAGAGAAGCTCCCCACCAAATGCCAACTTCTGACACATGACTGCAAACCGCTAGGCACAGGGGAACTAGAGGCTGGTGAGACAGGAACCCATCCGCAGAAGAATCCAGACGATGCACAGAGGCACGCCCAGAGCTCTGGCTCAGCTCGGCTTAGCTCTGCTTGGCCGTGGGAAGGGCCTGGGGGCGGCCAGGCTGGGGGGCTGCGGGGGACGACAGGACCACCCAGCGGGAAGGTTAACTCCTCACCATCCTTTCCAAGGCGTTGGGGATCTGGGCGGCCTTGTCCAGGAGCTCGCTGTACTCGAGCTCCTCGCACAGCCGCTGCAGCGTGTTCAGGGGCTCGTTCAGCTCCACGGGCATGGCCACTTTGGACAGGTCCTTCCCGATGTTATTCCGCAGGATGTTCCACAGGCTGACGGCACTGGCGCTGGGACACGGTGCCGGCAAGCAAGTTCTTCGCTTGGACTTGGCTTCTCCGCCGCTTTCGAGCACAGGCCCTGAAAGGGAATTCAGCCCCGTGGTTTCTAGAGGACTTTTTATTATATTACTTTAAAAACCACAGAAATAAAAACCTGACCCAGCAAGTACTCGATTCTACTGTTAATCTCATTTATCTAGGACTGAAAGCCAGAAAATGAAAAGAATGCCGCAGAGCTCGATTAAGCACCGAAAATGACGTGCGCTAAAACCTACAGACTTTATTCATAGGGAGGTCTTCAAGTCCCTTACTCAGAAGCCAGTGCCACAAAGCTTAAATATATTTCGGGTAAAACTGGAAACTGGATTTCTATGCTCGTAGCAGTTACTATCTATACTTTTAAACTCTTCAGGTTTTTTATTTTTATTTATTTATTTTTTTAAGAAGTCTCCATGCCCAGAGTGGAGCCTGACAGAGGGCTTGAATTCCTGACCCAGAGATCAACACCTGAGCAGAAATCAAGAGTCAGATGCCTAACCAATTGAACGACCCAGATGTTCCTAAACTCTTCCAATTTTTTTTAATTTTTATTTTTCAAAGATTTTATTTATTTATTTGACAAACAGATATCACAAGTAGGCAGAGAAGCAGGCAGATAGAGAGGAAGGGAAGCAAGCTCCCTGATGAGCAGCAAGCGGGATGAGGGGCTCGATCCCAGGACCCTGGGATCATGACCTGAGCGGAAGGCAGAGGTTTTAACCCACTGAGCCATCCAGGCACACCGACTCTTCTAATTTTTAGAAAGCACTACAAACTCTGTTTTTTTAAAGACAATCTTTTTTTTTTTAAGATTTTATTATTTTATTTATTTATTTGAAAAAAAGAGAGAGAGAGAGAGATAGACAGCACAAGCCAGGGGAGTGGAAGAAGGAGAAGCAGGGAGCCAATGCTGTCTCCATACCAGGACCCTGGGATCATGACCTGAGCCAAAGGCAGTTGCTTAACCAACGGAGCCACCCAGGCATCCCTGATTAAAAACTCTAAAGCCTTTAAATACCTCTTCAAATTCTGATAACAATAATTGTTTATTACAGAAAAAAATGGTAATGAAAATAAAAGTCTTCCATTAATCTTACTACCTACAAGTAGTAGCTGTTTATATTTTGGAATATTTTCACGTAGTATTTTCTCCAACCACAGAGCTCATATAGCACATCTAGTTTTATGTTCTGCTTATTCCCTTAATTATTTTTCCATGTTATTTAACATTTTTCTAAAATATTATTTATAATGACTGTAAAAGAAATTCCATGCTATGAATATGCCATAATCTACTAAATCATTCCTCTATTATTGGACTTACAGATTTGTTTCAATGTTTTGCTATGAGGCAAAAAAAAAAAAAAAATCCACTAGTGACTATTTATATTCTTAAGATTTGATTATATTTCTGAGTATTTGCTTCGGATATGTAGACATGCAATTACTATGTCAAAGACCATAAACATTTTTAGACATTTGATTTATAGGATCAGATGGCTCCTCAAAAACGCTGCATCAATTTCCTATTTACCAGCAGCACATGGGTGTCCATCTCTTGAGACCTTTCCAGGATTATCATCATTTGTTTTCAATTTTTGGCAAATTTTTGAAATTTGGACAGTGTTATTTCCTTGTTTCAATCTTCATTAAAAAAATTCCTAGGGTGATTTGGAATGCTTTCATAAATACTTCTTTCCTGAATTGTCTGCTTTCCTATTTCTAACCAGGATATATTTCTTTCTTTTTATAGTTGTTTTACAATCAAATCGCTGTTTGGCATTTATCTTTAAATTTAGTCCATGTGGTTCATTGATGAAACAAACACCTGCATCTACCAGTCTTTTCCTTTGTGACACTTGCATTGGCTCAGGCTCTGACATTCTTTTCCCATCCCAACTGAGCCTATTTTCAAACAAAATCTCATCAACATATGAGAAAGGGGCATTTTATCTGCATATATTTATCTATTAAAAAGAAATATTTAACATTTACTCATTGTAAAGCCAATAGCTCTGAATAAAGAGGCTGCTTTGATAAACAGAAAAGTATGAAACTGGGATCATACTTTGCAGTCTCATAGTAACCTAAGAATCCAATTAATTTTTGAATTTAATTGCTTGACATAAGCAAAAATCTGATTTACCCAAGTAAATAGCTGCAAATAAAAGTAATTTTTAAGAAAAGTTTTCCACATCATCTCAAAATATTTTCTCTGATTACACTAACCTAGATTTTGAAACAACACTACATGACGACTATTATCAACAAATAACTAGTATCTATCTAGTTTTTACTCTGGAGCAGCAGGTCTTCAAGCATTTTACATATATTACCTTACATATTTTTATGTATACTTTACATATACCATCTCTTAAGTAATTTGCCCTAGAACACAGTACCAGTGAATGGGAGAGCTGAGGTTAACCAAGAGAATTTGGTCATGAATCCATATTCCTAAGCCTGGAACCTCCCACAACACCCATCATAGTAACAGGGGATCCTAATATTTACCTCCTGATTTGGGGAGGAAAAAAATCAACAGGAAGCACTCTAAATATCTAGCCTTTCCTATGGGCTCAGAAAAATTCTCCTGTCTTAAATTATCAAGAACTGGATTCAGTCCCTATTTCATTTTGTAGGCAAAAGTGTGTCATACGATGCACATGTTATTTCTACATCCAGTCTTTTCAGTAGAGTACTGAGGTTTAGAAGTCTAATCTTCAGTGGAGACAGTTAAACTGGAAGACACCTATTTTTACTTCTAAATACTGCTGAAGAAGAAAGCTGGTTTTGGCCCAGTGTTTGTTCAAGCCAAGGCAATGTGTTGGTCAGCATTCCAGCAAAATGGCTGTGGAACAGGATGGAGTGAACCAGCCCTAGCTTCAATGCTTTTCCTGGCTGATGTCAGCTCAGCACAGCTGTGGTCCTACATTCCAACTATAACCCCTGAACCTTCTAGCCTTGCACTCGCCTTGGCCCCTCCCCAAGGCCTCAAAGAGAATGAGGGCTTCAGTGTTTGTCTGTCGTCCTCATGCATGGCGAAAGTGCCATTTTAGTGTGTGAGCTGTGTGTCAAGGGAATGTGATGTTTCTTCATCTCTCTTTCAATTCACCTCCTTGTTTTTCTAGAAAAACAAATATCTCCCATATTATTGGCTTTCTCCTTTGAACCACTGGTTCTCAGACTTGTCCACCAAAGGGTTCATCTCTCCAGGAACATTTCAAGCAAGATAGAGTGTAATGAGCATCAAACTTCTAGCAGGTCTGATGCTAAAAGGATGTTCTGCTAGAAAATGGTAAAATTACCTGCATTTTTCATGGTCCCCAGAGAGTAGGCTCTTTGGCCTTCAGAGGGCAACTCGTCATCATTGTAATTCACACATACTTACTAACCTGGGAAGCACCAACACAGAAAAAGCACTGACATGGTCCCTCTCCTCTGGATAGATATGAAAAGAGGTGGTGCCCCATGTGTGATACAGACAAACCTCAAGACCCCAACACGTACTGAGTACCAGGACTGCAAACATCTGATGGTAAAGGATCCATGCAGAGAACTGTCCAGAGGGCTGACACCTTCCTAAACAGATGTCAGTCTGCTTCTTCAGCTCCTACATCGGGACTGTTTGGGGAGACACTCGGGTATCCCATGGTACAAAGGAACACTACTTGGGCATCACTTTGCTCTTGGGATCAAGCAGGAATAAAGAAATATCTCAGGACACCTCCCCTCTAGGAGGTAGCAGTTACTTTTACTTTTTGTTGTTGTTGTTACTTTTAAATGTGTTACCTTGAAGAATCTGAGGCTAAATTACCACTTAGAGGGAAGCCTGGGTGGCTCGGACAGTTAAGCGCCTACCTTCAGCTTAGGTCATGATCCTGGAGTCCCAGGATCAAGCCCCATGGGCTTCCTGCTCAGTGGGTAGTCTGCTTTTCCTTCTGCCCTTCACCCTGCTCATGCTTGCTCTCTCTCTCAAATAAATAAATAAAATCTTAAAAATAAATAATAGAATAAATAATAGAATAATAGAATTCCTAAATCATGAAATCATGAAAACCACTAGGTACCTAAAGGCAAAAAGCTATATATTAATATGTTTGCTGAGAGAACATGTAACCATATCAGGGGTATCTGTTGGACTAATTTTTGATATTTATATGATCATTGGTATACATTCACTTTATAAAATAGACATTTTTATGAGCAGACAAATTAACCTGAATGAATACAGTTTTCACACATGAGTGCTGTCTCCCGCCTAGATTACATAAACCTCAAGGGAAGGGAGCATATCTTTTCTTATACAGTATGTGTTACAGTTCAGTGCCTGCAGTAGATACTCTGTATATGCTTGTTAGTATTCTGTGAAGACCCAAGCTTTCAGATATCAAATAATTTACATCTTACCCAAGGTCTGTCTCTCATTTTCTAGGTCATTACTGAGATTGTCTAAGGAAAGGTTATCACTGATGTCACTGACATAGGAGTCATCTTCAGAAATCTATGGGAAAAGAAACATACATTAGAGTAAGAAACAAACCAGATTATCATCACACCTTTACTCCAAATCATCAAACATCTTGAAGCCCACATTATAAACCTCCAGAAATAATTTTGGGTTGTTTTCATAGAGACCCATACACCAGTCTGCCTAGAAGGTGTTCATGATAAACACCTGTTATTAAAATGTTTATACTTTCTTGACCAGTTATCCCAAAGAAAGCATAAGTTAACTTGAGACTATAATATTACAGAAATTCTTATTAATTCACACTGCATTTACACATGTGTTTGCACGGAATGAGTTCTAAATTGTCTTTTAACCATTTGTGAAAGAAAAGAATCTTCTATGAAAATTAAATAAGATTAGTACTTCTATATTAAAGGGGTAAAATTATCAATTTGCATTTTCACAAAGTAATGCCAACTACGATACTTGCTTGTTCAGGAAAGTAAGGTTTTTATGCATCAATTTAAGACAATATTATTATATGTTATAAATGAATTATTACAATAGCCATATTACAAGATTTATCATAATATAATAATGGCATGTTATAAATTAATATTGATAAAGTCACTGATTAAAAAAAACCCAAGATGCTAATTTCAGGCCCTGCGGTAGAAATAAATTACATTATCAAATCGCTAATAGTTAAAATGACTAACAAGTAATTGAAAAGAGGTAGAACAAATCAAGTAACAGAAATGAGGTAATACCCAACACCTTCTACTTTTGCAACCTCTTCCCTCAGGTCTTGTATCTTTTTGTGTGTTTTAGGGTAGGAGTTACAGGAAGATTCTCAGAATGTAATGGTAGAAAGAGGCCATCGAGTTAAATATTTCTAAAGATGGGTATTTACTGAACAAGTAAAGCAACAAAAGAGATTTTGAGGCACCTAACTAAAAACAGGGCTCAAACCTCATTTTCTGAAGAGCTGGGAGATAAAAGAACTTCCTGTGCATCAAAAAACTCGGAAAGGGAGTCAGTGATGGAGAGTCTACTCTCGTTGGAAAGCTGATGGACCAGAGCTCGGCTGTCATCTCTGGAGTTTTCCTAATTGAAACACAAACACAAAATTGCATATAATTAGAAACAGTCTCAAGAGAAGCAAAATAAACAACTGATTTCATTGCACAAGACACAAGGTCACAGGTGCATGCAAACAAGCAGCTCAAAGCAGAGGTCAGCTCCCAGGTTGAGAAGAAGCAAGCCTCACACAAAACAAAATGAGAAACAAAGGTCTCCCCCATATGGGCCCCTCACTTCATAGGCACTATCATTGTTTAGGTACATGCAACAAATCTCAAAGCCAAAGCAGACTGTCCAGGTCAGTCTTCATTCAAGAGGGGGAAAATTCCAACACTCTCTGAATCATATCCTCTTATTCTCTACCACTGCAGGATGTTTCTTTTCATCCTAAAATTTCTTCAGAATTGTACTCAGTGTATGTCCTTGCATGGCTGATTCCGGGCAATGTGCTTTCTTCTGCCACCACGCTCTCCCAGAGGCCAACATGCTGCTTTTGCGGCATGCCTTGATAAATACAGTGTTTTGCCCCAGAAGTGCCCCTGGTGGCAGATCATTCATTATTCATGGATGAATGAGATAAATACTCTTTGTCAGTCTCTCTCTAACACAATGACTCTGAGAGGGAAGGAAACTCCCAATCCCCTTTGTAAGCCTCCCTACAAACAACACCTCGGCATATCATGATTTTCTCATCTTGCATGGCCCTCCCTTCCCGACTTTGCTGGGTCTAAACCTTCCCTCTGGGAAGGACCGAAATACTTTGGGAATGCGCTTTCTAGTCAGTTTGCAACTGCAAATTCAATACAACTCAACAAATTGAACAACTGCTCTATGCTGGCTTTGGGGAGATAGAAGGATGAATAAGACAAGGTTTCCGGCCTGAATGAGCGGCACAGAGAACGCCCCCAACACAGGAGACCAAGACTGTGGAACAGAAAGTACTACAGAAGAGAAGAGGAAGGTGAGATTGATAGATTCTGTTTCAGGCTTTGGCTTAGGGAGGGCTTCACAGAAGAAGTGACACCTGATCGGACCTTGAGGAATGAGAACAGACTAAGGACAAGATGAAGATTCTTTCAAATCCTAGGAGAAGACTTTTGCCCTGAACTTCCCTCCAGCTTACGTTTCTCACGGGGCAGATAAAGGAACTGCTTCTGCATCATTGTGCGTCTGATAAATGAGTCCCAGAATAATCTGGGTAACAAAAGTAAAAGTGGATTATGTCTTTTCCAGAAGTTTTTTCATGAGTTCAGGCTATACTCTTCAGTTTCAAAAACAAATTATATCCAAGATGGGGATGCGATAACAGGCGGCCAAGGCAGATTTTCAAAGTGGTCCCTGTGTGGAATGTTTGCTTCAGGAACACATTTAAATGGCTATCCCCTCCTCATGGATTCTTTCTAAATAGGATACCTGGTCATTCAAAGGTCTTACCTATTTTACTATCTATATAGCCTGTGAAAAGCAAGCTTCTTCTCTGCCCTGAGAGAGATCACTTTAGAATCAACAAGTACCACAGCTGATTACCTTCAAGGGAAAGTCACATCTCCTCAAAAGAGGAGACACCATAGGGAATAACTGAGCTCCTTCAGTGCTCACTGAAACAACAGAATCTTCCTGTCTTGATGTGCCACTGCCATATAAGACTCTAATGATTTATTTACTTGTTCTATTCATTAATTCATTAGTCTCTATCATCCTCCTTCTAGACTGGTGGATCAGGATGGGCTGATCAACAGGGAAAATAATACACCTTGCCCTAGCCCCTTCTGGCATTCCACCCCTCCAGACACTTCCTGTTAATACCCACTGAAAACTCAGTGGGACTACAGCAGCCCCATGCCCCAGCACACTACCCTACAGACACAGGACCATGCTTGTAAATATCAATTTGGACAGTTCAGTTCAACAATCTCCCCACAAGTTTAGAAGGCCTGAATGGTTGTTTATCTATTTTTTACATTGAAAAAAAGATAAACAGAGAAAAGGGAAGGAGAGGAACACTCATAATCCTATCACACTAAAACCACTATAAGCATTTTGATACATTTCTCTCCCAACCTTTTTATACATCTGGTCTTGCTTTGTTTTAAAATAATTGTGTATATGTATGTGTGTGTGCATATCTATAAAACATATATATATATTATATATATATTAAAAACTTTCTCCAAACACTGTACCACAATCATTTTTTAAAAAATAAACATTTATCCTGAGGATAAAAGTAGTTCGTTTTCAAAATAGAAAGTACAGAAAAATGTAAATAAAATATGTATTATTTAAAGCTTCATCAACCAGATGTGGCCCCTATTAGCCTGTTGGTATATTTTTTAATATTAAAATATTTGTGTGTGTGTGTATGCATATGTGTATATGTTATATATGGATATATAGATTTAAGTTTGAACTGGGATCACACTATATATAGTCTTTATATAATCTGCTATATTCATTTAACATTATAAACTTTTCCCCAGGTTGTTAATTTTTTGAGACATTAACTTTAGTTGATAGATAATACTTTATTATAAATGGGTGTTACAGAGTGACCCTTTTATGTATTGGAAATTAAGAGTGTTTTCAAATTTGTAAAGATGGTGAACATGTTTGCAAATGTCTTTTGTAAATAATGAGACATTATCATTATTTTTTAGGAACAGTTCCCAGGGGGCACCTGGGTGGCTCAGTGGGTTAAAGCCTCTGCCCTCAGCTCAGGTCATGATCCCAGGGTCCTGGGATAAAGCCCCCCGCCCCCCAATTGGGCTCTCTGCTCAGCAGGGAGCCTGCTTCCTCCTCTCTCTGCCTGCCTCTCTGCCTACTTGTGATCTGTCTGTCAAATAAATAAAATCTTAAAAAAAAAAAAAATCAGTTCCCAGAAGCAGAATTATTAAAAACGTTTATAATAATATATATATTACCTAATTACATTAACAAATAAGAGAACCTCTGTTTTCTCTAAAATCTCTAAGGGCATAAAGTAATAATATAATTTAGAAAAATTCTTGTTATCTAATTGTTCTAATTTGCATTTCTTTGTTAAGAATTAGGTCAACAGTTTTTTCTTTTTAAAAATCTCGCTGTAGAGATGTTAACATTGGGGGAGACTAGGTCAGGGTACTTGGTAACTCTGCATTTCTTTGCACTTTCTTGTGAAATTTTAAGTATTACAAAGTCCAAAGTTTAAAAAAAAAAATCTGTGATTGGGTTTTCTGGTAAATTGTGTCCCTTTTTTCATTCATTTGTTGAGCTCTTCAATTGCTTGTGATTACCTATTACTTACATATTAAAGACATTATCACCTAATTCACATTATCTGAGTCTGTCATTTTCACTGAAAATATTTTTCCTTATGTATTATTTGTCTCCTTATATTTTCACACACACCATTTTTTCCCTAAAAAGTCCCATCAGATCAAGTCAACATTTCTTTTGTAATTTTTCTATTGTTTCCGAGTTTAGGAAGGCCTCCTCGCTCTAGCCATTTGATAAATATTTAAATCAATCTTTCAATTTCAGTTTTTATATTTAACTCTAATTCACTAGCAATTCATTTTAGTGTGCAGCGGAAAGATTTAAACTGCTTTCCAAATTGCTTTTGAGCTGTGCCAACCAAGTTGATTGAATAATCCATCTCTTCCCCATTGAATTTCGAGCCCCTTCTATCATATATGTTTGTTTGTTTATTTATTTATTTATTTATTTGACAGAGATCACAAGTAGGTAGAGAGGCAGGCAGAGAGAGAGGGGGAAGCGGCTCCCTGCTGAGCAGAGAGCCCGATGCGGGGCTCAATCCCAGGACCCTGAGATCATGACCTGAGCCGAAGGCAGAGGCTTAACCCACTGAGCCACCCAGGTGCCCCCCATATATGTTTCTTTTATACGAAATGGTGTTTATGCCTGAGATAGTTATTCCATCCATTCTCACACCATCCCCAGCGTATCTTCACTCCTGGAGCCTCACTCGGTCATATTTTGTGGCCTGGCTCATTCCTCAATATATAGCAGTGGATCCTGCTGAGAAAACAGTTCTGACTCACCAGCTGTGGACTGAAATCCCCACTAGGTCTCTACCTAGCTGTGTGCCCTGGGAGAAGCTACTTAACCTCTCTGGTTTCTTGGCTCTAAAATGAAACTACCATCACCTACCTCAAAGAACTGTGGTTAGGATTTTGTGAGTTAATGCATTCAACTGCATATGGACTCTAGCCATGAGGCAATTAGAAGAAGTTCCCTTCCTCTCTTTCAGACATTGTTTTAAAGTTCTTGCCTAATTAGTCTCTTAAACAGACTGTAGATTCAGTAGAATGTTATCACCCAAAGTCACTTAGCCTTTCATTTGGAATCTAAAATAATGTAAGAACTAATAAGCCGATAATATTAAATGTTCACATTCAGAAACACAAAACAGGAGAACTTAATAGAACGTGGGAGTAATTTCTGATAGAAGAGGGGGGATTTTAGAATCTAAAGGAGGAGGTTCAATGCCAAAGATTTTAGAATCTAAAGGAGCCAGGTTCAATGCCAAAGACGGATAATCTGCACAACTCAGAGGTAAGGGACAAAATAGAAACGCAGAGAAGAGAGCACCCTGGGCTGACCCCACTGTGGGGACGGTCATTCCCTGACAGAATGCTAGGGAAGTCTGGGAGCCATCTAAGAAAAATAAGCGGAAGGGACACCTGGGTTGCTCAGTGGGTTAAAGCCTCTGCCTTTGGCTCAGGTCATGATCTCAGGGTCCTGGGATGGAGCCCCGCATCGGGCTCTCTGCTCAGTGGGGAGTCTGCTTCCTCCTCTCTCCCTGCCTGCCTCTCCGACTACTTGTAATCTCTAACAAATAAATAAATAAAATCTAAAAAAAAAAAAAAAAAAAAAAAAAAAGCGGGAATGGAATTTTTAGGCTCTGGGGCGGCCACTTCCACTCACTCTCTGGTTTCCTGAAGACAAGAATGGCTCTTCCTTTCTGGAAAAGTGAGCCTGAGTCACTCAAGTGAAAAGCAGGATAAGAAATGGAGAAAAGAAAATTCCTATAAGAAGAAACAGCAAGGAGAACACTCCATCATCAAGACTCCAGAAGGTTGTTTTGGAAAGTGTGAATGTGGGGGATACCACTGTTCCCCCTCAAGGACATTTGAGCCTTCAGGTACATTCCTTGTGAGATCAGTTTAAGAACATGCATTGTAAAGACAGGATTCTATATTTTCCTTTCCAAAATGCAAACAGCCCCAAGTATGCACACTGAGCATAAATACATAGAGCCATAAATGAGGGGTCAGCTTGCTTAACCTGATATATACTATTAGGCAGTAGTACTATTTAACAGGTAAGTACTGCTTCGCAACAGGTATGCAACCCCATGGAACACCACGGCTCCTGGCATCCAACAACACTGAGCGATGGCCGGTCAGAGTGACTACGCCCTGCTTCAGCAACCACGCAGGTTCCCTCGCCCAGGCCTAAAATGAAGGCTAGCCCAGTAATGTTCAGGTGCTCAACTTTAAAGATGATTCAGTTTAGTCTGGGCTAAAATGACTGGAAAGATCTCTTCGTGGGGAGTGAGTGCGCAGAGGAATGCCATGGTCAACTCCTGATGCGTCTCAGAAGTAACAGCAGCCTGGGAGCCTCTGCAGAGACAGTGTAGGTCCCTCGTCAGACAACAGGGTCCCCTGGGCGTGTGGCCGAGCCCATGGTCCCCGTGGCTGCGGATGCCCAGGCCTCGTCCTTGGTGCTGACCGATTATCAGCCAGTAGTCTCCTGGGGCTTCCCACAGAGTGAAGGATTGTGTGGGGGCTTTGTTTTCTTTGAGGACAGGAAAAGGAGGAAGAGGGATTAAGCTTCAACATTAGAAACTCCTTTTAAAAATGTACATACACATACGAGCCTTGTATATTACCTTCCTTCTTTTCATTATAAATACTCTCAGTCTAATAAGTTTGTTAATGAGAAATATAGCATATCTGAGGCGGGCATATATGTATGATAGTTAAAAACAGTTTTAAGCCTTATTATCCTTTTCTACTTATTTTTTGAGTAATCCACTTGTATCTTTTCTGCAGTTTCTAATTTTAAACACATGCAAGGAACCTTTTGTATAAACATCCTGAGTTTTGAGAAAAGCCATTTTAACATATTATTAGTTGACCAAGACACTTCAATTGTAATACAATATTTTTTCCCTCACAGGGTACAGCTGTGCTTTTTTAAAAGAAAAAAAAATCACAGGAGAAGAAGGGAACAGCCACAAAGAAAGGGGAGAGGGGATGTCACAGAGGGGGCAAAGGACGCTAGCAGGGACTTGGGATACCACAGGGCAGAGAAAATGGGGCCTCTTTAGAAGTAACAGAAGAAAATATCTCTGGGCATTCCCACTCTAGGAATAACTAGTGAAAAGGTGATTGTTAGGAGGAAATGGGGTAAAGAAATACAAAAGGAAGACAACTTCTGAGGAGGGGAGCAGTTGAACAATGCAGTTAGCACATGAGTAGGTAAGAAAGCCTTGGGGTGCAGGGCTCAGACCCTGAAGCAGCTGCGGGGGTGGGGCACAGATGTGAGCACCACTCCCCACTCCCCACTCCCCAGGGAAAAGAGGGGCACAGGGCTGTCGGGTGAGGGGGTGGCGGTCGTAGAAACATTCCCAGGCGAGAAGCCTTACCCACCTCTGCCAGACTGTCACCCGACTTGGCGGCAGCGGGGGAATCGAGGAGCAGAGACTCAGCATGGATTCTGCGTAAGCGCTCTTTAAGGTCTGTGTTTTGTGCTAGGGCCTGGAACATGTTAAAAATAGTGGGGCTCTGTTAATAAGTGGATGTATCAGAAAAGCACAGCAGGGGGGCCAGGGGGACAGAGCCCCTAGCAGGGCACTTCCAGGACTTTCTTCTTGAATGTTATCCAACAGGATATGTTCTGAGCTGCCGAGGAGATCAAAGACACTGAACTTTGGAAGTGATGTCCCTTCTCTGGTCTCACTTCCCGGGATGGAAGAAGGGGCTGGAGAGGCTTTGCTTTCCGTGGAGAAGGAAATCACCAACACCTTCAGCTCTTACTAGGGCTAGTGGTTTCACAGCCCTACCTCCCCAGCTCCCTCCCTATGATCCCACGCTTCTCTTATACCACCCCTATGACTGGACATCTTTTAATGTTATTTAATTTTCATACCAGTTGAACTGGACTTTAGGTAGTATGCTTGGAAGTAGGATTTTGTGGAAGAGTAATTTTATTATCTCCCAATATAGGTAATGATTGCTTTATTCATTCTTCATGACTAAGACATTTTATTGAAAATCAACTATGTACTTTCACTTACCTGGATAAAGGCTAAGGACCAGGGCCCTGGGAATGGGGGGAAGGAGGTGGGCATGTGTAAACCCTCCCCTGGGCAGGTCAGATTCTCTATCCCAACATCCCAAAGGGGAAGGAACTGGCTTAAAGGTAGAGGAAGATGTTTCCAAATGATCTGTCTTTGGAAAGGGACAAGTGTGCCTGACTGTCCCCCCAGACACTCCCACAGTCAGCTCCCCAGGTGTTTGCACGCAGATCTGTCCTGTCTATCTTCCAGACTCTAGTCCAAGAAGCTCAGAGCCTTTCCCATCCATTAGTGTCCATAGGGCCTACCTGCTGAGATCATAGAAGGATGTGGCATGATCTGATCTACTGCCTAAATCTCAGACAGGATGTTGGTTTTTAATTTTTAATACCCAGGAATGGAATGGGTTATTTGGAAATTCTTGAGGATCATTTAGGAATCACTGAGTAAATGTTCTTAATACACACATGTACATGTAACAATCTCTATGGGGTACTCACTTTTTTCTGGCCAACATGTTGCTGGCATCTCAGCATCAGTGGCCAGAATCTATACCAGTGGCCAGACTTGGAGTACGGTCTGGAAAATGTGTTATTTTAGCAGCTTCTCTTTCCTTTGTAAACCATAGGCAGAAGAGAGAAGAATGCCAAGATTGCCCATACAGCCCAAACATATGCATTCTGATAGCCCTGAGATGACACTAAAAATGTTATTTTTAAAAAACAAGTCTTGAATCTAATCCAGAATCCAAGCCAAAAAGAGGAAAGAAAGGATCATTTTGTTTTATCTTAAGTTTCCAAAAATCCTGAACATAGGAGAGAATAAACTCCTTAGATGGGTAACAACTCTGGCCTAGGATATCATGCCCTCTACCAGATAAGCGGACTAAGAAAATGAGGCCAGACCTCCAACGGAGGAGAGCAGGAGAGAGAAGACCCCTGTCAGGCGGAAGCCCATCAGAGGTATTTTCTAAAAGTACTAAAAACCAGTAAGACCGGGAATAATAAGAAATGCTCTGTAGCACTAAAAAATAAACTAAAAAAAAAAAAAAAACAAAAAACAAAAAGAACCCACCTCACTTCTTTCAAACCCAAACAGCACCCAGTATGCAGCTAGCTGTCCACTGCAATCCAAAAATGGGTGTTTCTCTCTGACCTTAGAAAACCCAAAGCTCCTCAGGGTAGACCACATTAAGACTAAGTCCACATTATTTTTTATTTCTTTCAAAGATAACATACTTGGAATGCCAACTGAGTAGATATTCCTTAAGTATTTTTCGACAGCAAATATGTACTATGTAATGTGTTTCCCATTAAGGTCATACCACAATCATTACTTTACTTTTCTCAGTAATATCATGAATCGAAAAGATGAACGGATATTTTCTAGTTCTCTCAAAGGCTAAGTCAGCTCCTGAAAACAAGATCCTGAAACTCATCTCCCCCACCCAGCCCTAAACAAAAAGTTCTGTATTGTTTCAGCTGGTGACTTCCCGTGTGTGCACACACTCTCTTTGCAGTAGGGATTCAAAAGGACAAGCAAAGACTAGGGGCATAATAAAACAAAATAAGATAAAAATAAAAGAAATATATAAATAAGTAAAATAAATAGAAATAACAGAAATGGTATGCTATTTTTAAAATCCTCCAGCTTTCCGATAGATACAAGAGTGAGTAATCAGACAACTCCAGCTGTTCAAAGGAGAGTCCTAGGACACTGCGCCTGAATGGAGCCCAACAGAAATCATGGGGAAACTGGAGAGTGACTAACAGAAGAGCTGACTGAAAAACATGTGGGGCTGGACCGTGGTTTTTCTGTTGGGATGAGAACACAATGATTATCTGACATTCCTTATGACTCATCTCTTTGTAAGGAAAAAGAAGCTAAACGTTTATATTACCAAATCATATCAAATCACTTCCAAACAATTTTGAAGGAGCGGTAAACGGGATCAGAGCTGGGCAGAGAGAATTTAAAATGGCCGCCTGCTCCCCGTCACTTGCAGAGTCAGTCTAAGCTTGAGAAGTCTTTGGTAAGGAACCTCCACCAAACTGCCAGATTTTGATGTAAGAAGCAGATGTCTGGAGACCCACACAAATACACAACAAACGCTTTACAGAAACAGAAAAATCAAGATAAATGGAAAGAAACCAAACTTAAAAGTCTCTAACGCTCCATGAAATACGAGCTACCAAGATTGGAGGTAGGCTCGGTGTTGGTGCTCAGAATTAGCAGATCTGATACAAGGTGAACACAGAATTTGGATAATTTGTTTGTTTTTTTCATGAATTTTCAACACAACCACGGAGTCAGAAAATGTAGAAAAAGATTCAAGAGCTTGGCCAGGTGGTCAGGCATTTCTGTGACACAGGCATGCGACTTACGGATGACAGGGCGTGTTTCAGGCCGATGACCTGGGCAGAGGGTGGGGAGGAGACATCCTGTTCCATCAGCTGCTTCATCTTCTCTCTCTCCGCTGACAGGGTATTAAAAGCTGACCTTAAAGTGAAGTAAACTAGAAAGATATAATCATTATAAAAAGGAGTAAAGGAAGAGGCATAATTAAACACAAGACACAGAGACACATATTTCTTATGAAGGAACTTAGAAAAGTAACAGCCCCAAACAGTGCCTGAAGAGTACAGCAAAGGGACGCTCTAAGTTGACATTTAAAGAACACATCTGGAATGTACAGCACCCAGAGTGAACCCTAACATCCACAGTGAACCCTAACTGAAACTATGGACTCTAGGTAATAATGCTGCTTTGTTGTAGGTTTACTGATTTTAACAAATGGACCACGCTGGTGGGATGCTGGCAGTGGGGGAGGTTGTGTGTGGGTGGGAGGGGGAGGGTTATATGGAACTCCATACTTTCTGCTGCATTTTGCTATGAAGCGAAAACTGCTCTGAAAAATAAAGTCTATTAAAAAGTTTAACAGCATACATATTTTTCAATTCCAAACCCCCTACCCACTACACAATTCTAGGAATTGATGACCTATCAAGATATTTTGACACTTGAAAAAACACCTCTGGATTCTCAATTATCAGCATTTAATTTTGTTTCTATCCCTAAAGACCGAAACTGTTTGAAAACAAAGCTCATTGGTCGCTGGGAAGTCATGAAACTAGAAACCAAGAAACTAGATAGCACCTTAACCAAGTGACCACAATTAATCTCCGGTGGAGCTCAGATGGACTTGTGTGCCTCCGGGTGTAATATTCTGAAGAAGATACACCTTGGTTTGTGTTGTATTACCAGCCAGGGGTAGGCCACTCCAAAAGGAGGAACATCTATGTAAAAACTGACCTGTATCCTTCAAAAGCATCAGTTTCATCAAAGAAAAAGAAAGGCTGAGGAACTGCTCCCAATGGCAAGAAACTGAAGAGACATGACAATTAAGGTGGCACATGATCGTGGGCTCGATCCTGGACTGAAGGGGAAAAGTGCTATTGAAAGACATTATTGGAACCACTGACAGCATCTGAACGTGGTAAACAGTGGAGATCAAAGTCATGTTTCAATGTTAAATTTCCTGAATTTCACAACTGCACTGTGGCTACGTCACAGACTATCCCTATTACTATCCCTATTCTTAGGAAATAGATACTACAGTATAAAGGCATAAAAAAAACGAGGTAGGATTCCTACTCTCACACGGTTCAGAAAAAGAAACACATATGTGTGTGCATGCATATAGTGTGTGTGGAAAAAGAGGTAAGATATATGTGGCAAAATATTGAAAATGATAAATTGGGGTAAAAGATCCGTGGGAATTCTTTGTATTATTCTTATAACTACTCTGTCAATTTGAAATTATTTTAGGGTGTTGCCTACACTCTTGCTAGTCTTCCAGCTGCTTTATCCAGAATCCCCAGGCTCTGAACTTGGCATTTAGCTACTCTGTTCACTTTAGTGAGCACTCAGCCCCATGAGAGCTTAGCATTGCTAGGCATTCAGATGCCAGAACTGAAGTTTTTAGAACCCGCTAACACATACAGCAAAAAAATTCTTCAAATTTTGATCACATTTGTATGAGTTATCCACTAGGAATGGGGGAATGGCATCTAACTTACTGATCATGGATATGACATTTAAACATTATCTTCCCGGTGTCCTTTATTACATTTTGTTTTAGAAAGGTAGCAAGAAGGAAGAGGAAGAGACACACTTGTCAGAGGACACTCCTGAATTCCACGGGGCTGCATCTTTAGAAGCACTGTCATTCAAGAGTGGCTGATTCAGTATTGCAGAACTAAATAGGCATTATTGACTTGCTTCCCTCATTTCCATAGCCACAAGGACAACTGCATCTCTCCACAAGTTATTGCTGAACTTGTCTGAGGTTGTGGTTTAGTGATGGATTTAGACCATCTTCGGAAAGTCATCGTACAAAAAAGCAATTTGCTTAAACACACACTCATGCACACAGTTTCCTTAGTTTATTAAGTACAATTCATTTCTTCCCTTCTGTCAACAGAAGACAGGGTAAATAGGTACTAAAGGCAAACAAGTACTAAAAATTTTCCAAAAATATCTAAGGAACACACTTAGCGCTTTGATTTAAACAATTCCGTCGAGCAAAAGAATGGGCTGCACAACAGAGTGACCCAGAGTGTGGGCTCCGAACCAGCCCTGGATTCTTCCCAGCTCTATCACTCAGGCACTGCAGGACCCTGGGCAAATGTATGCTGTACCTGAACTTCCCTTCCCTCATTTGTAAACGGGAGTCATGAGAGCGTTTACTTTATGAGATGGTTATGGGGATTAAAGACGACAGTGTGGGGATAGCACTTAACCCCATGGACAGCCTATAATAAATAATAAGTGTTGCTGCTATAGTAATAGTGACGGTGATAAAAACAACACACGAGGGTCGAAGTGGTGGGGACTGGAATGCAGGTTTTAGGAGAGTACTTCGTTCTCTTGCCAGAACACTTGTTAATAACAGGCGTGCAGTGCAGGGTACAGGGTCTGATGAATGAGGGACCAACCGGAATCTGTTCAACAGTGGAAGAGCAGCCTCAGCGGGGGGGTGGGGGGTGTGGGGGGCAACGAGCCCCGCAATTAACACTTTACGTCCCAGTAGATAGGCACCCCCAACACACACTCCGTAGGATACCCACGCCCATCTGAATGGGTCCCAGGAGGGAACACCTTTTCGCTACCATGGATTTGTTTTGTTTTGTTTTGTTTTGTTTTGGTCTTTTGGTATAAGTTTCCTTAATTTGCTATTACAATTGACATTAACCTTCTATGAGTTCTGGTATCTACAGTAATGATTTGGTATCTGTATCCACTGCAAAACGATCACCACAATAAGTCTAGGGAACATCTGTCACTTTACATTGTTACAAAAGAAAAAAAAATTTTTTCACTGTCATGTTTATTGCTTTAGATTAAGTAAATGTGGCACTCAGCTGGCTACCACTTTACCAGATCCATTCCTCTGGCCTCCAGACAGCCTGCAGTGAAGCAAGGCCTTCAGCCTGATGAGAAGATTCCATTTAAAATTGGCAGAATACACACTCCTTGGTTCAAAATGGAGAGCTGGGGCGCCTAGGAGGCTCAGTCAGTTAAGCGTCTGCCTTTGGCTCAGGTCATGATCCCAGCATCCTGGGATCGAGCCCCATATTGGGGTCTTTGCTTGGTGGGAAGCCTGCTTCTCCCTCTCCCACTCCCCCTGCTTGTGCTCCCTCTCTTGCTGTGTCTCTGTCAAATAAATAAATAAAATCTTTTAAAAAAAATGGAGAACTGATAAGACTGTGGTGGGCATAAAATAAACAGAAACTCATATAGTCACTATATCTAATTTTCATGTGTAAAGTGCTTCCTAAACCACCTGACAAAGGATTGCTACGAACTGAATTTCTTAAACGACTGGTGAGGCCATTCAGAGGACAGGAAGATTGTCATTCGAAGCGGCCTGATGGCCCAGCACATGCAGAGCCATTGTGAGGGGCTGCTTGCGGGAGACTGTACTTATATTAACCGTTAAAGACACAGGATCCCAGAGGTGAAGAATATTCTGTGACAGAATGCTTTCTTACTAATTTCTCACAGGATCCCAGAGGTGAGGAATATTCTCTGTGGCAGAATGCTTTCTTACTAATTTCTAACATGATGTTAGAGAAAAAATAAAGAAAAAACTTACAAAAACAGAGCGATCCAAATGAACGCATCACATCTATAGATAGCTGACAACAAATGAAACCACATAGAAAGGCTTCGGTGGTGGTGCCTGGTCAGCTCAGTCAGTTAAGTGTCTGCCTTTGGGTCATGATTCCAGGGTTCTGGGATCGAGTCCCACATCAGCTTCCTTGCTCAGCGGGAATCTGCTTTTCCCTCTCCTTCTGCCCTTTCTGCTCACCCACTCACTCGCTCGCTCTGTCTCAAATAAATAAGTAAATAATCTTAGAAAGAAAGAAAGAAAGAAAGAAAGAAAGAAAGAAAAAGTCTTCAATGCTCAGAGCTACAAAGAACCCCAAAGATCACTAAGGCCACCTACCATATGGAATGATCAACTCTTCTCTGCCTCCAAACCTCCTTGCCTGTGGTTTTGGACCATGTTTCTCAGACCATTTGCTGTCTCCTAAAGCAGTCTGCTCTGCCGCTAAGCTCTGCGGCAGGTAAGGAAGTCCTCCTGTGCCCAAGCCAAAATTTCCCTCAGTGTCTCCTCACTGGCAAACAGCACTACCTATTCATTCATGTGGTGTTCAAATTTTGAAAGGCAATCATGGCATCTCTGTTTACTCATCTTTCCCAAACTGTCCTTAGCCATTTCTCAGACCCTCTCACCGTACTAAGAGAGTGGGATGCAGATTGAGTTCTGACAGAATGGAACGTTGTACGCCTCATACAACTGACTCCTGGACCACTACCTTTCCGGTTTCCACAGGATTCCATGATATTCTTCTGTTGAGTTAGACGACGAGAGTGCAGTTAGCACGTTTGGTACTGAAGGACACCTGTGCTCTTACACTACCTGAGCTCTACTGTTGAACGTGCTCCTTCTCCAGCAGTTTCTGGGAATCAAAGAGAATGAAGTCTGGGGGAAGACAGTAATGCCATGGACACCACGTCCACAGAGGTAGTGTGGCTAAAGGGAAAGACATCTTGTAATAAGGCAAATGCAAACCCAAATCCTACTTCTACCATTTGGTTGCCATTTAGATTTTGGATGAATCCTCGGTTTCCACATCCCTAGTTGGGGGTAATGCCCATTATCTCATGAGTGCTTTAAGGAAACAGTGAGAAAATGTATTATCATATAGTGCCCAACCCGCAGTAGGACTCATTACTTTTCTTTCCCTCTTTTTTTTTTTTTTAAGATTTTATTTATTTGCCAGAGATAGAGAGAGAGGGAGAGAGCACAAGCAGGGGGAGCAGCAGGCAGAGGGAGAATCAGGCTCCCCGCTAAGCAAGGAGTCCAACACGAGACTCAGTCCCAGGACCCCGGGATCATAACCTGAGTTGAAGCAGATGCTTAACTGACTGAGCCACCCAGACATC